ATGTTAAAGGGGAACTCCACGAAAAAATGAAAATTTGATAGCCTGTAGAGTTTCGGGCGCTGAGTCGAATGGTCTTGGTCCGAAGTCTCTACGAGAAAGCGTTCTTGAGATATTTCAATTTTAGCCACGCCCCATACCAATGTATGTGTGACGTCATTGTGGCAATGTGCGAAAATACTTGGATTTTGAATCTCACTTTCTTCAGGACGAAAGTCACTTCAGAAAGTAGTTTGCCAAGTCGCCTGAGCCGCTGCAATGCCAAATTGTTGTGTTGTTGATTGTGCCAGTATCACATCATCCTCCTGGGGTTAGTTTTCTCAAATTCCCAAAGGATGGAGACCTGGCAAAGCGCCGAGATGTTGCAATGCGTCGTGAAAATTTCAAGCCTATTTTCGCAGCACGAGCTATGTTTGCTCGCTGCATTTATGATCCAGAGGGACTTGAGAGCTGAGTTTTGACGAGTACGCCGTCCAGGAAAGCCCTCATCAGTGTACCAGTGCCCTCCGAACCGTGAGCCTCCAGCAAAGCGAACTCAACAAGCTGCAACTGAGAAAGCAGGGCGAGATACGTCCCATCAGGATCAGAAGAGTACATCACCCCATCAACTCCGACTGCAGCTAGCTGATGAACGATATTACCCCAGTAACTTTGCCATACCAGTACTCAAACTGTGCACATCTGTCATCAACTGGGACGCAAACAGACAGACCCCCAGCAAGTACGAAGGTTACAGAACTGTTTGCTTGCGATGTGCAGGCAGCATGCACGACGAACTGTCTCACCAATCCTGCCAAACTGAACCAGTGTAAGTTGATTGCGTGGATATGTCTCTATTTATAACAGCTACCCTACTTCTAGGCATGGTTGCATGAATACCATATCACTCAGAGCAGTTGTTAGAAGTCTGGACAGCCTTGGAATAGTGCAAGTAAAGTGAAACAAAAATATATTACACTCCGAGTTCCACGCTTGCGGGATCACCAGGCCAAAAAAAATCTAATTTCGAACAAGGAATGGGTTCTGGTTGTATGCGAAAGAAAAGTAAGTGAAGACCTATTGTGCAAGGAATACAGTGGGAACTACACATATTATACACATGCACTCACACCATCACCCACATGCGCGCGCGTGCGTGTGCGTGCACACACACAAACACAACAACACACACATATACGCACCCACATACTCAAACTCACTCGCACGCACGCTAGCCTAAGGATAGTACATATGCTGTAGTAGTGGTATACTTAGTGAAATGACTATGTGTACATCTAATGACGCCGCCACTCCACGCCAGAAGACAACAAACATCTGCTGCATTTTTGCTCCCGTTTCTTATGGGCAACACAGGGAATGAAACGAACAATGCAATTGAGAACAAGAGTCGTCCTGTACGGTGAAGTTTCCATTTTCTCATACAGCAGTATATCGTCTAAGCAAGTGTGTTTTCTCCACATTCTTTTTGCCATGCAGGTATATCACAGTGTCATGCCAAACTACATTCTCAAACGCATTCGTTTCTCAATTCTGGGGATGATTGGACATGCACATCTCGCAGCTCTTGACGACGTCAATGTCAACCGTCGCCACAGCACAACCAAAAAGACCGCGATAGGAAGGTATAAAGTCCAGTTCTCAAAGCATAAAGAAGACTGTGGCCAAATAGAAAATTATACGACAGAAAGAGCTATGAGTATGTTGACAAGCTCATGTGTGAGGTGGTAGCGGTTGCAAATGGCAACCTCCATGTTCCTGCCTTGGAGAAGCGTGTTTCCCTGCCAAATTCCAGGTGGAAGCCTCCTGAGAAGGCTGAGGTGGTGCAGGATTTGGATATCTTTGCCTGATGGTATTCACAACGCAGGCTGGAAGACGACAACGAACGTGCTTGCCCAATTTGCCGTGTACATAGTGTGTACTGCCTGTGTGCCGCATAGCGTAGAGATCTACACAAACACAGAATGTCATATGGAATGTGTATGATGAGTGCTTGTACACATACCACATTGCTGTACCGTAATAATTATTATAGTCAAATACTCATTTACTCTACATATGCGCTGTATTGCACCTACCGGTACCTACCTGCACTTTCAGTGCGCGCGCCATACTAATTTAGTGTCCACTGGTACAAAGATGGAGGGTCTTGTAGAATTTACCATAATTGCTGATTTCAAATTGAATTCCAATGATCTGGGGGATGAATACTGATTAGGACGCGTTCGATTACCTACTAGTACAGAGATGTCTTGGTCAGAAAGTACAGATTTCTTACTCTCCTGCCAGAATTTGTGCATTATTTTGGTGTACGCTTTCTTGACCCCACGCTTGTACGTTGCATGCCATGGTATACTAGAAAACGAGTTTATTGACAAAGTCTATCGCTTGAAACGATAAAGTATGGGTTCGGGTGTGATCAAATGCACCCATGGTGCTCATAAACTGTGTGCAGTGCTCTCTTCACCAACAGAACACTACCTACCATACTTTGTAGATCTTGTACCAAGCCAAGGGAAAATGACAAAGACAAAATGTGAGTCATGCATGAAAACTTGTGATAGCACGGTCTATAGTACAGAACAACGTTGTTCGTGCTATGCCTGACAACAATAATTAGTTACACACAAAACATTACGCGCATCGATCCTCACAAGATAAGTCAAGACATACTCGGAGCAAAGAGAAATTTGTTTGTGTCATGCATGAAACTTGTGATAACTACCAGTACAATGTCTTTCTTGTGCGACGCCTACTGTAGTGCGCCTGACAACAATAAATTTCCCCCAAAAAATAAGAATAAGTGTATCATGCTGATACGCGATCCTCACAAGACAAGTCAAGGCAAACTAATTGAGGCTTACCTAATGTCAGACTCTTCTGTCACTGGCATTGGCGGCTTCTGCATGTCGAGATAACCTCGAAGAGCAGTGATGAGCACAGCCTAATGCAAGGATACGATCTCGTAATCTGCGAGGTCCGCTACGCAAGAAACCTTGGGCCGTCTTGTCGACAGCGACGGCAGCATCCTACCAGCAAAATCATTCCCGCGGGCTGGGCATGGCTATACACTTTTGTCCACGCTCGCACCAGTCGGAGTCCCAAACGAATCGAGATTCTGGTGGCCAAGCTACTCGTCTTCTGTCGGACGCAGCTGCTGACGCATCTTCTTCCTCCACATTTGTTACACGCGATGGCAGCTCCTCAGCAGAGTATCTGGGCTCCCTGCCCCAACCATACGCGGCGGTGGGCTGTTGGTCGTCCACACTGGCCTCAGCATCGCTGCCTTCATTGCTGGGGACAGAGGATTGTTCGGAATCGCCCATCTTCCCTTGAAATACCAACTAAAATTAGTGCTTGTAAAGTTGTAGACTGGCGAAGAGAAACGACTTTGCCACAATGACGTAGGCAGCCCGTGATGATGTAACCAAATGGCCGCATGACGTCAGGGCGCGGCCCCCGTTTTTGCAATTTCAAAGTGAAATTATCTCAAGAACGCTTCGTCGTAGAGACTTCGGACCAAGACCATTCGACTCAGCGCCCGAAACTCTACAGGCTATCAAAGTTTCATTTTTTCGTGGAGTTCCCCTTTAAAAGACTGAAAATCAGGGAGTCGTAAAATACCGGTATTTTACGACTCCCTGCTGAAAAATTCCAGGCTATAACTAAAAGTATAAGGCTGACCCCCCAGTTCTTCCGCACCCGACGGTACTGTTACTCTGTAGTGCATCCAGCCATGCATATTATCTGCAGAGTACGACCAGCCACGGTACTGATGCACGCACGACAGCGAAATCACGATTGTGCTGCTCTGCTCAACATCCGAGTATCGTGTGGGCCCTGTCGCTCGTGTACCTGGCCAAAAATGCACTGAAATTATTTGCAAGGTGTATAGAAAACTGATAGTGGTGGCCTGCGGAAGCGAAGGCTATAGCTTGTGTGTTTCTGAACATTCAAGTGATGCGGATTCCACGAATATTATTATTATTACATGAAGTTGGTTGCTCCAACGAGGAGCACACGCTTCTTGCCGAACTTGACACTTGACTGACTCACGACTGCCATCCGGAGCACACGAGGAGCACGTCGCACTTTCGAAACACTGTGTATTGAGCAGGGAGTGGTGCTTTCTTACAGGTTTGCCGAGCGGAAGGTGCGACGTGCTCCTCGTGTGCTCCGGATGGCAGTCGTGAGTCAGTCAAGTGTCAAGTTCGGCAAGAAGCGTGTGCTCCTCGTTGGAGCAACCAACTTCATGACTATTATCGCCGAAGTCGCAACTTCTAAGTTCGTATTGTTGTCCCTCACGCGGACGTGCGACTAGTTGTTGGAGGTGACAGCGTTGTGAATAGCTATACTGGCTCTCAACGTCTGTTTAGCACAACTCCACGAGCGACTCTGACTCACGCTGCTACCTGGGGCTTCACGAGGTGTTTGTCGCGCTGGAAACAAAGCGTCTCTGTAAGTTTGTATCCCTGGTGATGGTTTGGCCTGGAGAGCAGTATATAAGTGGTGCTTTTCAGGCACAATCTTCCTCAGCCTACTCAAGCTCAACTGATGAGGGGTGAATTCCCCGAAACACTGTGTATTGAGCAGGGAGTGGTGCTTTCTTACAGGTTTGCCGAGCGGAAGGTGCGACGTGCTCCTCGTGTGCTCCGGATGGCAGTCGTGAGTCAGTCAAGTGTCAAGTTCGGCAAGAAGCGTGTGCTCCTCGTTGGAGCAACCAACTTCATGACTATTATCGCCGAAGTCGCAACTTCTAAGTTCGTATTATTATTACAAGTATTATTATAGAAAACTGATACCAGCAGGTCTTACAGGTCAAAGACACTTATGAAAGAAAGCCAGGGCGTTACAATTTACACTCTTCCTATTTCAAACTCATTGGCTGCATAGATCTTTCTGCTGGCCGCATAAGGCCAAGACTCACTGGTTCATAAAACAAGTGTATACGTTAGAGTTGACATTCCGCACACAATCTGCACAGTGCTACTCCCAGGCACAAAGAAAGCAAGGGCAGCAGCCCAGTGACAGCCACGGACAGCAGCGCTGTATTATTTTCATCACAGCATTACTCCAAATCCCAGTACATTAGCTAACCAAGACCAGCAATCAGGACCAAAGATCTCAGTGAAAGGAGAGCACAGCAAATCGCTATAGACCAGACTGTGAGCTAAGCATATAAGGTCTACTTGATATAATAACTGTAATACTGTATGGGAAATTATGGGAAATATCACTGATGGGGTCTGCAAGAGTATGATTTAATTCTGTTAGAAGTCACAAATGAAATTTATAAAATTTAAAAAAAAACTACATGCACTAGCCCGCCTGCAGGCTACATGAGAGAAAGAGAGAGAGAGAGAGGGAGAGAGAGAGAGAGAGAGAGAGAGAGAGAGAGAGAGAGAGAGAGAGAGAGAGAGAGAGAGAGAGAGAGAGAGAGAGAGAGAGAGAGAGAGAGAGAGAAAGAGAGAGAGAGAGAGAGAGAGAGAGAGAGAGAGAGAGAGAGAGAGAGAGAGAGAGAGAGAGAGAGAGAGAAAGAGAGAGAAAGAGAGAGAGAGAGAGAGAGAGAGAGAGAGAAAGAGAGCGAGAGAGCGAGAGAGAGAGAGAGAGAGAGAGAGAGAGAGAGAGAGAGAGAGAGAGAGAGAGAGAGAGAGAGAGAGAGAGAGAGAGAGAGAGAGAGAGAGAGAGAGAGAGAGAGAGAGAGAGAGAGAGAGAAAGAGAGAGAGAGAGAGAGAGAAAGAGAGAGAGAGAGAGAGAGAAAGAGAGAGAGAGAGAGAGAGAGAGAGAGAGAGAGAGAGAGAGAGAGAGAGAGAGAGAGAGAGAGAGAGAGAGAGCTGGACAACGCCAGGCCAGGACTCTAGGTCAACCCTGGACTGGTCATGGAGTGATATCCCAGCAATGCGCACGCCAGCAAATGACAACAGTAGCATCAGGTTGCTGAGAGCTTACTGGAATTGTAGGATCCAGTGAAGAGGCCCTGGATCTCAATGGGCTTATTGAAATAGACGACCCAAGCGTCCCCATATTCTCTGACAGTGGCATCACCTAAATTAACCACATCGCAATTGTCATGACCAGTTGCTGCCTGAGCTGCTCTATCAATCTCATCTTGCACTATAGTTGTGAGGTCATCAATGCACTGGCGCTGCGCTAGACCATCCTGCTGGCCCAGCCGTACGTGCACCAGTGCGCCAGGCTCGCTGGTACTGTAGAATGGGCAGAACTGCTCACGCTCTGCCCAGGTCACCGGACCGTCTTGCATGGCTGCCACTTCAGCATCAGCCAAGGCCGGCGAGTCAGCGCTGCATTCCACACCCACATCGCGATCTTCATGCTCGTCCGCTGCTTCACACAGGTCGACGACCTGCTCAGGTACGAACACTCGCGCACCGCACGAGCGTGGCGTGAAGTACACGGAGAAGACACGGAGAGGTGCACTCGAGGTCAGGTGCGAGCAGACCTTCCTTGACGTGCTATAGCAAACCCGCCTCCTCAAATCCTGCTCCACCTCTTCTTCCCCACCTCCGTTGTTGGCAGCGTTTAAAAACGGTGTTGCATTTGCAAACAACACTGTATCCACGCTGGCATAGTGACGGCTGGGATCTATTGAAGCAAGTTTTGTAAAGCTATCTACTGCCTTCGTACTGGACAGCAGCAAGTTGTACCAGTTTGAGAATGAATAACTCCTTGAGAGTGACAGAGAGAAGTAATGCCGTGCCACACGATTTAGATATGCCGACTCAGCCTGTGGAAGAAACCACCCATAGTATTCGGCTAGCATTGGTTCATAGGCCTTCAGAGCAAGCTCAACGTGCTCTTCACCGACACCATGTATGCATTTCTCTGCCAACGCGGCCGGATCACGTCTCCACGGTGTACGAGACTCCAGCACAAACACCATGTACTGGTATGCCCGAGCTAGCAAGAGCACCCTATGGGTTGTCCAGGCTGCAGTGTGCTGGTTGTCAATGCATAGTGCAGGCACACGTCTAGCCGCAGCAGCCATGCTATGCTTGAAGCAGTCGGCGTGGGCATCCTTCAACTTTGTCTTCTGAAAGCAGTACTTTCCATCCTGCATCATAAAGTCGTCAGCCGAACAAATGGTGGCGCTAGGTAGCAATCGCGATATGTGGTCCTTGATGATTCTGCTTTTGCCACTGCCAGGCAGTCCCCTCATCAGAAAGATCGCTCTGGAGCGACGCAGCAGAGCTTGAGATCGAGCACTTTGCACAAACGCAAAGTGACCGGACCATGGCATGGCTGAAAGCAATTTCACAAGTACGGATCCGGCACGCCCGGCTCAAACAGTTGTCCACATGAGCACCGGAAAATTGTCAAAAATTAATGGCAGTTATTTAGATTGCATCAGAGTAGAATTAGAAAGAAAACACGTGCCAGTCACACCTACACTACTATCCAATACCACCAAGACTGAAGTACTACAAAGGTCTAAAGCTAGAACTAACTTAGTAGTCATAGACATAGGTGTGATCCTGGAGAAGAACAACGTAGGAAAACAGGTCGAAAGGAAGAAGATCGGCAATACAAACGAACAGATCCGCACATGTATAAAATTTCGAAACAGGAACAAAATTCACTACCCACATCTTGCTTTTTGAGCACGTGATAATGACGCAATCAATGACATCAAACGATTTTTGTTGATTTCCTGTCAATGACACAAAAAATACTCCGGAGCTCCCTGGCCTGCAGCCGTGCTGGCCGGCCCCGACTGCAATCATTCACGTCGTTTGTGACAAAGTAAACTAACTTCCACACACATACACATGAAGTCGTTGGTGGGAACTGAGAAGTCATCATTCACAATGCCAGTCACAATTTGCACAGAGAAACAGTTTACCAGTCCAGCTCGTATCATATTGAAGTTGTGAATAAAAGTTGGCATGCATTATACAGCAGATGAAGCTGCGAACTGAGGCTTCAGGCAAAAAGGTGCACGCTCGCGCGCGCGCGCGCGCACACACACACACACACACACACACACACACACACACACACACATAGTCGAATTACATTGTATAATGTACTATTAGTATAAGCAAAAAGAGTGAGAGCTTAGACCTCAGCATAAGGTTCAAGAAGTGGACAGCAGGGCATAGCATAGCAAGCAGAAGAAACTCAGGCGAGCAGATAATAGGATTCAACGAAAACTAGCAAGAAAAGGATATACAGTGTCAGCGCCAGAAAAGACAGGTAAAGAATGGGAGGCATGATAGCCTTGCGGCACACAGGACAGCAGTAGCTACAGCGGGGATGGAAAGATAAATTTCAGTGACAGAAACCAGCAACGAAAAGCTTACCGCCGTCTCTTGTTGTTGCCCAGCATCATGGCGACACGGATGAAGATATTGATAGCATCCATGTAGACAGACAGGGATGCAGATACCGGGTCAAACTGAGCAGAGGTTTCTGCACGGTGTACGATGCGCTGGATATCATAGAGCGTGAGCCCACCAAACAGCACCAGGCCACCATACACGTAGAATGCGTGGAAACCGGCTGCAGCAGCACCGCCGGCCGGCAGGAAAGCAGCACCGAATGTCGCCAGGCACATACCGCCCAGGCACAAGGACAGCGGACCGCCGTAGTTCAAGAACTGGTGAGATGGCGCACACATGGCAGTGAGCGACAGAGCGCCCATTGCACCGCCGGTGATAACAGCAGCACGCAACAGGAGAGGACCTCCGAGCATGGTCAGTGGCGAGATGATGCCAGCAACGATGCCGTTACAGAGCAACATCAGACCAAACTTCTCCAAATTCACACCATTCTCTCTGTAGGGAATGGCCGTGTTCATGCCGTTCGTCAGCATCAATCCACCCAAGGGCACCAGGAAGCTGAGTATGGGTCGCTGTTGCATCATCTGCATGAGACGGATGGAGGCACCAGTGCGGTGCAGAGCTACGACAGCACCAGCAGTAGTGGCCAGACCCAGAGTAAAGTAGCCAAATGTCTGTCTGATGCGAGCACGCACCACGGGCGACCACATCACTGAGCGCTCACCTAGAGACATCTCTCTCGAGCCACTGATTCCATACAGACACAGACCACCGATTCCAGCAGCACAAGCAGAGCCCAGGAAGATCCTTCCATAGCGATCATACCGAGAAGCAGCATCCTCCACTGTGTTGCTTACTTTGTTGGCATCAGCACGAGCATTCTGTGGAACTCGAACTCGCATAAAGCGACGAGCTCCGCTGCATGCGTTCATGCTACTCCTCATGGGAGCAACGAAACGGCTGAGAATGGTCATTGTAAATGTTGCTCTTCGCAAGGTCCGTCAGTCACGTTACACAACCAGACAGCAAAGCTTCTTTCAAGAATGAAAGGTTTTCTTCTCCAATCGAGGTGTTGACTCGATTTTTACCTGGCCTGATGAGATAACTAACGCGTTGCGCAAGGTACAAACGACGTCATGATGTCAGGACGGGCCAGGCCGGGGGCGGGCCCGCACCCCGCGGGGCGGATTGTACCTGTGACTGCTGCACTGTCCTGTGGCTCTTGCCCCCAATCTAATCAGGGAGTTCACCTCCCTGGCCCCAATTCCGTACACACGCCCCGTATTGCGGTATCGTAGATCTACCGTATACGCGTAGACTATACTGCACTGTACTACGCGTAGAATTGTACCGTACCTGGGTGTGTATGCATTCCAGTTTGTTCCCACCAGGGAGGGGGTCGACTCCCTGGTTCCCAAAAAAAACGGGAGTTGACCCCGGCCATGCAGGCAGCGGCCGCAGCGAGTACTAAAAAAACGGTTATCAACCAGTTATTTTAGTACTCCCAAGCCAGCCCTGGACTTGTGCTGTTGATGACGTATGCAGCCAGCTTTCGCGATTTCTGATTTTGTTGGATGATGCCTAGCGCCTGCTGGAAAAAAGTGAAAGAGTGCACGATTTCAAGTTTGTTTGTGAAATTGTAACTCTGGTTATTTTGTGTTGAGGCACTTTGTGAAAATTCGAAATCGTTTTAGCCTTTGTGAGAACTCTTGGAAAGTCTCATCAAGGAGCAGATTGAACAAAACAGTAAGGCTTCAGGGAGGAAACAGTTATAAGAGACTAGCGCGGGTCCGTTAGGTGCCAAGAGTTTGTTTTTGTATTATTTTGGGTTGAATCACAACTTTTGCCAACATGCCTGAGGCGACCATGATATGGTGAGTTAGACGAAACAGTGGAATAGTACAATAAAGGTGTTAGACTTCTCAATCTAAATTTGTGCTGGTCGATGGTTTGCTTCTTGCAGCATTGATGACAGTGATTGGATGAGAAATGGCGATTTCCTGCCCACCCGTCTACAAGCACAGGAGGATGCTGTGAATGTTATCTGCAGAGCAAAACAGCAGGAAAGCCCAGAAAACACGTTTGGTGTTTCCACATTTACGAGGTATTTCCGTCTATGAATGTAAAAATATTTTGAAAATTAAAACTAGACGTACAAATGTAGGATCTAATAGAAATTTCCAGAAATTATACAGAAATCATACATGTGGCAGAGAAACCTTCTTCAGCCTCATTTTGATCACGATGGTGAAGACCTATATTGAGAATATAGTCCGCAGGCCAGGGTTGAAATTTTTCGAGATAAAAAAATCTCGCTCCCGCTCAGGGGGGACCAAGTTTGGTTGTGGCGAACCGAAAGAGGACCCCTCGGGCTACTCGAAACTACTTTTGGGTATCCCCGGAGCTGGGGCTTTCGTGCGGAGTAAGCCCTTTTGGTTCCAATTTTCGGAACGACCCCAAGTGCGCAGTTGTCGTCTCCTGCAATTTTGAGTACGCGGAGAGCCTGCTCAAATTTGAATTTCGCTTTCACGTGGCGCGGCACGTGGGGCGGCACTGCAGAACTAGAAGAAATTGAAGCAGTCGGATACAACAAAGAAAGCCGAAAAGGGCTTACTCTACACGACCAACCGATCCATGGCGACTGTTTCGGGTAGCCCAAGGAGTGCTCCTTCATCCTTGGGCAACCATACATGTCTCCCTTCGACTGAGCACGCAGGTTAGGGAAACGATAATGTTTTACTGCGCCAGATGAAGGAATCGTCGAGATAGAGAAGTTTTGGTGACTGACATAATTATAAGCATAAATTATATCTCCCAGAGGCGATGGCCTGTCGAGGGATAGAGATATGATATGGACACTGGAGTATGGAATCAGTTGATCCGAAACCCCGCCGGAACACTCGGCAATCTGTGCAGGCCCCAATTGTCGAGCCAGGCCGTCAAACCTGCATTTTCTGCGGCTCTTTGAAAAAGAAGATTCCAGGCAAAAGCACTAAGCAAACAACGTCGCTCTTGCAATCCGAGGATGGCGAGCAAACCCTTCGTGCCGCTGCCGAGATCAGGCAGGACGACAAGATCTTGATAGCAATAGGCTCGAGTTGCTTGATAGCACGCGAAGCGTACTATCATAAGTATTGCTACCGAGAATATACTCGGGCCAAAACACTTGCTAGGCTGCAAGATCAGGGCGAGAGCGCAGCCACTTGTGCGCCTGTTGCCAGTGCGGGCACCGAGATTGATAAAGATTTTTTTACTGAAGTAGAAACGCTGCTGTTTGTGGAATGTTTGGTTCGGACCGTCAGTGACCTGACTCGATTGTTCAATCAAGTGTCCATAGAAGGGACAGCGCTAGCGAGAAACGAAAGAGTCAAGGGACTACTAATGGATAAGTATGGCGAGTCCATAACGTTCTCTCGTCCCCGCGCACGGAATAAATCCGAGTTGGTTTACGCCACGGAACGTGCACCAGTGATAATAGCACGACTGTATGACAGGGACGCTGCGAGCGAAAGCGAGAGTGAGGAATCTGGTGACAGTCCTAGTGCTAGCGCCTGTGAGAGCCAAGAGGGTATCGCTAGTACCACTACCAGTAGGTCTACCAACTATGGAACAAGAGCACCCAGACGCCCCGCTGAAGTGGATGTGCACCAGACTGTTATTATGCAGGACAGCATACGTCTGGTATACCATTCGGCTAGGCTCCTGCGGAATGCCTGTCAGCAACAGGCAGAGAGTTTCGACACTACAAGCACAAGTCCTGGCAGCAGCACTGGTATGATTTCAGTGAAGCAAGCTGAGCAGTGCATTCCTGCCCTGCTCCACAATTTCCTTGTGTGGTTTTTGAGCTCAGGCCAGCATGACAATATACCAGCAGCATCCAGCAAGCTTGAAGTTGATTCCACGCTCAACCGCTGTGTGATGTCCTTTGCACAGGACCTAGTGTTCCAGTGCACAACTATCGTGCCACCAAAGCATGTTGCTCTTGGTTTGGCTGTACACCATCTGTACAGAAGTGAACGACTTGTGACCATACTGAACAGATTTGGCCACAGCATTGCGTACGCCCAGGTGCTGGAGAGAGAGACACGGATGGCCGAAAGTAAACTCCACAGCAGGGAGGCTACTGACGGCCTTCCGGATATTGTCGATCTCTCCATGCCATTCTTCCACGTTGCTGACAACAACGACCTTAACGAGGAGACATTGGATGGAAAGGGCACGACCCATTGTACCAACACCATTGTGGTCCAACCCGTGTTGCGGCCCGTTCCACAGCCTGAACTGCAGCCCGCTATGCAGCCTGAACAGCAGTCCGTTCCACAGCCTGTACTGCAGCCCGCTGTGCAGCCTGAACAGCCATCCACTACACAGCCTGAACAGCAGTCCGCTACACAGCCGATGGCTGCTACTGAGAGCTCTGGGGGAAAGAAGCGGAAGCGAGCCCTTTCATTAGAGCCAGAATCGCTCCCGGATTTTGTTGGCCGACAGAAGGTCAACCCGCCACGATTTCCATATGCTACAATAGAGCAGTTGGATGGTGTAAAGCACGATGGTACAGACGCTGTTGGTCTTGTAGACTTTGCGTGGCGGCTTGTGAGGGCGTGTCGGGATGCAGATCTCTGCAATCCTGTGATGTCTTTGTCCGAAGAGAATCCCAATCAAGATGTGCCATCGTGGTCAGCATTTAATGGTCTTACAACCAGTGCTAGTACCCCTCCTCGCTCCGTGCTTGCATACTGTCCTGTCGTGAATGCTTCTCCTACTGAACTTTCCACAGTGTATGGTATCCTCAAGAAATGCGTCAGCCGGTGCGAGCGTGCAGGAATGGCCTTCTCACTGATTGTTTTTGACCAAGCCATCTATGCCAAGGCCCTGGATGTGATTTCTCAACGACAAGATGAGTTCTCATCAGTTGTGCTGCGGCTTGGTGCTTTTCATGTTGCATGCACATTCATGGCCGTTATCGGAAAGCGATTCAGAGATGCTGGACTTTTGGATGTGCTGATTGAATCTGGTATTTCCGGCCATGCATCTGCCTCAGCAGCGCTAGATGGAAAGCAGTACAACCGAGCAGTGCGGTTCCACAAAGAACTGTCTTTCTTTGGCCGACAACCGCATCCCGCAGCACGGGTGATAGCACATCTTCTTCTTATCATATTATCTACATGACTGTAATATTGTCATTATAATTTAACCTGTACCTTCATTTTAAATTGTTTCCAGAGGACCTATGATCTTCTTACTGGAGCTCCTATACCAGAAAAGTTAGGCATGAAATATGATCGGAATGTCCGGAGACCCATGAAAGCGTGACAGTAATAGTAACTTTACAGATTATGCCAGTACTAAGACTTTATTATTATAATCAGAGACTTCATGCTAGGAAATAATAAATTATCCTTCTAGTGTACTTGTCCTATTTCCTATTTTGTGCAGGCTCCTTGTTGTATAATATGTTCTCAAATGTGACATACATTATTACAATGTATTACTATTGTGAAATGACCCAAAGGCAGTATGCCTATCGAGGGGTTCATTTGATTGAAAGAACAGTACTACTACTAGTATGTGGGGCTTGATGAGGAGAGAAACGCGGAAAATGAACTGCAAGGTGTAGTGGCGGAATTCCGTTGATTGCATAAGCATGGTTAGTGTATATTGCATTCCGTGTATTGACGCTATTGTGTTCTATTCTAAGAAATGCTATTGAGGTACAGTCAGACCTCGCTTAACCGCACACATCTGTTTTCCACAAAAACATCCGGATAGGCGAGGTAACCGGATAACTGAACACACATACTGTACATGCATGTGGCATGTCAAAAGCAGTGACATCATACATACATGTAGACAGGTTCTATGCAGTACAACTAGCGTGCTCAGTATGTAAAACAAGCGAGAAAAATGACAAGTGCATGCAACTGAGTGCTGTCCGCACACACCCAGCAGGTCAAGGACCTCATTTGCTTGTACAACTCCTTGATACTAGCTTCTGCAAGCTCTAGCCAGCCACAGGCAACCGGATACGACGAAGCATTTTGTACACATTTTAACCAGTTTGTACACAAAATCATGCACCGGTATGCGGATCGCGAGGTCCGGTTATGTTGTATGCATAACATATGCTGCACATCGGTAACCAGCGATTTTCTTCCGGATGGCGAGGGATCCGGATAAACGAGGACCGGATAAACGAGGTCTGACTGTAGTAAAACACCTCCGATCATCATGAAAATGTGTACACAGCTAGGTCTGGGCCTTGGCTACTTCATTCCAAAGCAACACTGTTGGTATTTAATCTGCAAGATACCTAAATTGGGAATTATCACTTTGGTTGCTATGGTAACACTCTTCAAGAAGTATTTCGTTGATTTGGTCAACAAAGCCCCATGTTTCTGGGTCAAGTGACACAGATCCTGAAAGCTCTATGTATTCTCTATCATTTGCACATGTCAAACCTTGGTCCCCCTCGAACGGGAACGAAAAGTCACTTTTTTGCACCTTGGCCTGTGGACTAATACTGTACAGGAATAAATCGATCTTTTTGCATAGTAGCGTTTCAAACAGAGGCCAAATTTGGCCAATCAAATGGAATTTATCACAAGCACCAATGGGCTAGCTTGCCAGCGAGAAAGCAAGCAAACCTACGCATGCACACACACACACCACCACCAACCAGCTGCATGAAGAAACAGACAGGAACCTAGTGGCATGGATAATGACAGCACAGTGTCTCTGTCATGACCCGACCATGATCGAGGGTCAGTCAAAAGCCTGTGTCGCAAGCAACACTAATAGGACCGCCACGAAGACTATGCCTGACGGTGAACGGGAACAACAATAAGCTTCAAGCCAGGTCACAACATTTCTATAAGGTGCAGCTGCACGTTGTGTAGATGTATAGCTACACTGTACAGACAGCGAACAGTGCATGCACGCACACTGGTGCACTACATGTGTGTGCAGAACGGTGCATGCACTAAACTACAGTCCTGCTCTATGAAACCCAGTCACGTCACTCAAGTTTGCGCCTTGCATCATTTCGCAGCCCAGTGTTCGCAGGCCTATGGCTGCGCAACACCTGGCTCGTACTTGAGTGACGCGACTGGATTTCATTGATCAGTACTGTACTTATGGTTGATAAATATGGTGGTAAAGACACACCTGGCAATATGGCGGTAAACACACGCCTGCCCACACACGCTCTCTAAGCTGCAAAGTTCTAGCACAGAGCTCTCCTTCTCACCACCACCACCATCAGTTCGCGCCTGGCGCCTAGTCGATGCATGGTTGGCGGTATCCGACATAGCAGGCTGGTACATCAAGTAGCACATGGCACATAGAAGATGACACAGCAACGACATAGCTCGATTGCGACGTACGTTTCGTCCCCGCTGGACTCATCAGGCAATCTTCTTCTTGGATGTCTTCATATGGAACTTCATTCTCCCGAGTACTGTACTTAGCAAGAGTTTGTGGGAGTTCAAAGTGAGCGATGTGGCACCAAGAGTACATAACCCCCAGAGTGTGCAACGCCGATCCAGTTCTGCATAGGGTCTTGGTCGAGCGGAATCGGATCTTCTGATGTCATGCGTACACTCCACACCAGCGCAAGGCCGGTCTCGAGGCAGGGCACCATTGATTTTGATCCGAGAGTACCCGCGACTCCCCGGGTTCCCCTCAGATGTGTACGGTATTATGACGCAAAGATCCGATTCCGCTCGACCAAGACCCTATGCAGAGCTGGATCAGGCGTTGCACACTCTGGGGGCTTATGTACTCTTGGTGGCACCCATCACATAAATCGCAAACTTGTGTACCACCGATACCTCGCCAATATTAGGTGTTTTACAGTACATGTATTTTGTTGCCAGTTGCTGGTGTGGGGTCTTGTTCAATTGCTTCCTCTTGCTGAAGTGCTGTACGTATGTACGTGTATGAATATGTATGTGTGCGTATGTTCGTGCTTGCGTGTACATGTGTTTATGTATGTGTCTGTGTGTCTGTATATGTGTTCTATATGCTATACACATTACGTGCGACAGAGGTAAAGTACTTGTCACACTCACCACAACCCTTGGGAATATCATTACTCGTCTTCACCAAGTTGAGCCCACTGGTGCTATTGACTTCGTTGTCGGTGTTCGCATTGCTCATGTAAGTGGTGTGCTGCTGCTGCTCAAAGTGGTGTGCTGCTGCTGCTGCTTCTGATGTGCTTTTGTGCTGTGATACTTGCCTATTTTGTGTGTCCTTTGCTGCTATCTTTTCTCGAGCTTGACCTTCTTTCTTTCTTCCTCGTTTCAGCTTGCTCTCCGCCACCGAAAGGTGAAGAACGCGAAGATGCGCATTGTAGCATTTGTGGGCAGCCCGGTCAAGCAGGACGATGCCGAGGTATTGTTGAACTAAGTGTGTGTGTGTGTGTGTGTGTGTGCGCGTGCGTGTGCATGCGTGTGTTCCTTGATACCCTGGTCATGATGCTATGCTTATTGTCCTATCTTCGACCTGTGAGTACTAGGCGCTCTGCAGGTTTGTTTGTTGAAGGTTGGGCACAGGTGTTGGCATTGCACTGGTTTTCTTTGTCCATTCCCATTCCAGTCACCCACTCCGCAGTCCATTGCAATGCAACAGTGTACATGTACTTAGTTAACAAGGTTCGCAGGCGCGTGCCCCGTATGGGTGCCCGGAACCCCCCCCCCCCCTTTTTCCGCTCAAAATGCAGGATTTTGCTTCATTTTTTGAAAAATTTCCCAGGGAGACTCCCCGGACCCCCCCCCCCCCTTGAAGGACACCGGCGCACGCGCCTGGTTCGGCCTTATTTTCTCTGTGCTGCGTTGATAAGTCCACAAAGCACGAAACAATTCTGTCCGCAGATTGAGTAGTTAACCCTTTACTGGCCGATTGAAATATAAATCAGCCCACACAATCACCAAATCTGTACCTAAATTGGACGTAACTTTAGTTTGCACTGGACAACTTCCACGATCTTGGGCATCCTGGAAAGGCCTTGACGAGAGGAGCGCGATGAGCCTACACTCGGCTCCACGGGATGCACTGGCCCAGAGCTGCAAGCCAGGGAAAGCACACCAGCACTGGGCTAACGCTCGAGATCAATCTCTATCCACCATTTCACTCATGTTGCTCGTATCAAACTCAAAATATTTCGTAGCAACTCCCGGGAACCTACTTTTGAAGTGGAATCGGTGTAGCCTTGTCAACAGGTGACGTAAGCAGGGAAAATCCCGGCCGTTGATCCAAACATCTCGCTCTGAGCGCGAATTTCCCGGGACCAACATTACGAGTGCTATAACTCAAGAACCGATTTTTCTATCGCTTTGAAAATTGTTCGAGGCGACAGCTGAGAGTTTTCTCTTCGACCTACATATTTCGATCTCTCCAAAAGACTGAGACTTGACCAAGTTACGATAATTTCAAAATTCCTACCCCATCGAACATCGGTGTTCGATCAATCTATGGGCCAGCGAACAATGCTGACTGGACTCTGTTTGGCTTCATCGTGTTGTTCTTATTCTCACAGCTCAAGAAGCTGGCAATGCGGCTCAAGAAGGAGAACGTCTCAATTGACATTGTTAATTTTGGTGAAATTGTAAGTGTGAAATGACGAGCTCATGCTCACCGTACATGTGTATGCTCCCATTGCTTTGTACAGGTATGGAGTGGCGAAACCTCTACTTGTCATTTGTGATGCCACTCCATACAAAAGACCTCAGACAATGCCGTAGTTATGTACTTGTACCCCTACATATCTTTTTGATAGAGTTAGTGCTTCTACTTGTGTACTCTTGTATGTGCCTGGCACGAAGCGCTAACGGTGCAATGATCCTTTGTAGTTTCCCCTTACATCTGATCGCCCTTCTGTAAACGTTTTGCTGTTACATTTTCAGGAAGAGAACTCAGGAAAGCTAGAGAGCTTCATCAAATACGTTAATGGCGGTAAAGCAGAAGCAACGTAAGATGATTCTTCTCTGCATGTGCTTTTGTTTTGTTGCGGAGTGTGTGTGTGTGTGTGTGTGTGTATGACCTATATGTATTTGTGTTCACATCTTCCTGACTGAAGACCCATGCCAATCATTGGTTGCATTCTGTGCATGTCGATCATGACTCTACGAGTAGTCAGCAGTCAGTAATACATGTAAAGCCTTTCATTTGTGCATGGCTGGTGACTGCTTTCTTGTTGTGGGCAGTTGTCACCTGGTCACCATTCCTGCCTCGGCCAATCAGCTGTCAGATGCACTTATGACGTCACCTATTATCGGTGCCAGCGGCAATTATAGTGGAGGTGGATCCAGTGGTGGCGGTGGCGCCCATGGCGACTTTGACTTCGGTGTGGACCCATCGGCAGACCCCGAACTTGCAATGGTAAGTCATGTACATGACTCGATTGGGCTGTGTGTTTTATTCCTACCAAAATCATACTCGATCCAGGATACCGGATGATAGTGATGATGCTGAGTGAGCTATTGCGTACTACAGTAGATGTGTTCTCCAATACAATGGTGGTTATTGACAAGTAAGAACTCAGGGTGGCTGGGTTGACTCGTCCCAGGATGAATATCGTGAACCTAGCAATACACAGTACTATATGTTGCTTCTTGGATTTTCAACCTGTAAGGTGTGCATTGCTATGAACTTACAGTCCATTTCAAAACTATAGACGCGCAGTGTTTTTGAAATATTTCAAATTTGGCTGGAACTTTTTGAGAATAGTTTTCGGAATATTGCTCAGGTCCGCTCCACAGTTACTCTCATATAGTTTCTAAACGATTGGATAACAGACGTCCAATTTGGAAAAATTTATGCACAAAGTGATCACAGATTTTATGTGGTATTGATGCTGGCATAACGGTTTTTGCCTAGGTACGTGTCTATAGTTTTGAAATGGACTGTAGCGAGGGAAAACTACATGTAGTCGCGTCTGTGTGTGTGTCTCTGTTCTCTTAGGCACTTCGGGTGTCAATGGAAGAGGAGAGGTCACGTCGACAGGCAGAACAGCGAACGACCGGCGAGGGTAGTGCGGAAGCGACTACAGCCTCAACAGCTCCAACTGAAACAACAGGTAGGGGCCTGTCTTGTGGGAATGTCCTGTGCCATTTCCAGGGGTATTTCCAGTGACTTTCAACTGCCACCCTGCACTATGTAGCATTTTTGGGATTTACAAAAGTACACACATGGTTCTTTGATGTGTACACAGTCTGGACTCTTACCTCTGCAAGAAAGCACTCCAGTGGTGCTCTTTCTCAGCCGACCTATCGCCTGAAACACGTTGCTCATATTTCATTCCAAAGTGACCTTCGATGCTGCGTTCTTAGCTGTGTGTTGGTTGAAGTGCTAGTGCAATACATGTATAATCGACTCCTGATATAACAAACACTATTGCGCAGGAGAATTAGTTCTTTATAGCCGAAGTTCGTTATAACAGAAATGCACTTACTTGTACACTATGGTTCAAACGGGGACATGGACAACGGTTCGCTATATGCGAGTTCGTTATAGGTGGAGTCGACTGTATATCTAATGCATCCTATCTGCTTTGTTCTCAGCTGCAGCGCCGACTGGTGGAAATGAGCAGTTGGCACAACGTGTCGGTGGGGATGCTGGTGCAGAGGTAAAGTTTGCAGCTCACTGATGCTCACAGTACTTGCATCTATTCCTTTTTTTCTGCTTTGGTAGTGTTCCGTGTGGTGCTGGCAAAGTCTGCATCTAGTATATAATGCCGTAAATTGGATATTAAATACGTACATGTATTGAAGTGCCGTGGGTAATCAAACGTAGTAGGGGTGGGTAATCAAGTGCTTCAACACGTGCACCGCCAACATGTACATCCTGTCACTACACTTTGCCATACACCATACGGACCTGCCAGGCACAAGCTCCTGGATTGAAGTGTTGTACGACTACCCGACTGAATCGGATGTCGGACTGGGGTGAAGGGGTCGTATTCTGTACGTTCTTGTCTCGATACGGTGCACACTTGATCCTGGAGACCAGAGTGTGTGACCTATAGTAGCGATATCAGACGAAAAATCTAACTTGAAACCAGAGGAATGAGTGATATACCAATCGAATCAGTATCCAAAACGCTCCGTACTGGTCAAATTTTAGGTGAATCCAAGCTATGGAAGCGGTATTTATACGCGCTCAAAGTAGGATGACAGGCACCCGCCATTGTCGTGCTGAGGGATGCACCACTGCACACGAACAGCAAGATGCGATGGCACAAAAGCCGTCAACTTGCCCAGTGCATCATGAGCGGTTGCCATGGGGAACAAAGTGCAGAGCTGAGGGAAAGTGCAAAAATTACGACGAATCCGTACTCCAAGCAACAAAATTAATTAGTTCGTCTCGCCATGGACGGGAAAGGACAACACCTTGTCGGAATCAAGCATTTTTGTTTCTCTATCGCAAGCTACTAATGTAGTATCGAACAGCTACGCCAGTGAGAATCCAGGAACATTGGGACGTGTTTTGTACAGTTATTTTCATCTTTCACCTTGCTCTGTTCCAAGACCAGTCCATTCGATATCGTGTCGATTTGGTTTACCTCGAGCTGCTTAGCCAGAGATGATCCAACGCACAAATCACGTTGTTCCTTTGGGCCTCTCATCAGAACTGAAACCACTACTTGAACACGCACGTAGACCACTCATATGTACCCTGCTCACACAGGTGCGCACAAAAAGATCAAAAAACTATGGTGCGCAAGCAAGCACGGCAAGAAACTAAATTCAAGGACGCGGAAGACGATGGTGAGCGAATCCAAGGCGTGCAACGATGCGCAGGGACCGAAAAAAAAAACAAACGAAAATAACCTACTTTGGCTCACCGGCAGCTTCGCGAAAACACAACGCAGATTGCTAGTTCAAACTCCGAACAGGGGCTTTCTCTTTGCTCTTCGCCTTCTTCCTCTCCAAACATTTCAAAAACAAGCTTGGGCTGCTGTACGAGGCCATGGAAGTATGCTGCTTGCACGCCCACGCGATTTTTTCAGCCTAGTGCAGGATCATGGTCGTGTGCCACGCGTGACTGTAGCTGCTATGGTCAGTCCTGCGACACGATTTTAGGGCGATTACGTAACCACTCTGACATCTCTACCTATAGCGAGCCGTGACTTCTACGTGTATACTCAAGTCTGTGGACAGCAACTGTTTCGCTCTGTTAGAGCTCATCAGCACAGCTCAGAGGACCGAAGCGCAGCTCTTCGCAATGAAATACGTTCCCGTGAAACAAAGCATTTTTATAAAGAGCTGCAAACCCCGCCAAGAGTGCTCGAAATGCTCCAAGAGCAGTGAGCGTTGCACAAGGCGAGCGGCAAGGGTTCGCGCTAAGGTAAGAGTGCTCAACCTAACGACATTGCTGGCGCTAGGGAGCATAATACTCATATACGTGTATATGTACATCCTGTACCAGTATACCGTTACATGTACAAAAGTACATGATGTCCAGATTGCAACAGTGTGCGGCTTATCACGAGTGAGTGAGTTAACCCTTTGTATGCGGACCACAAGTAGTCTATGCCAAGTTCTCAGGCAGATTACTGGAAACCAGGAAACATTTGTGCCGGTTCTAGTTCGCGACTTGCGAGGACAGACACATTTGCACCTGGAGATGTTTGCGATTGAACCTCCTCAGTTTCTTCTAATACTACAGTTCTACTTTTCATGCAGGCTAACTTTTTGTGATTTCACACCCATCGCTAAAGCCGCTAAGGAATCCGGATCGCAAAGAGTTTCGAGTTTACAATATTTAAAGCTGTGGACCGCACGAGACTACTCACTCGCCAACCGATTCTCTGCGATGCAAGTGAAGTCAGCTTCTTTGTCTAGGCCATTCCGCTGTGTCTACAAGTACATGGCATGGGTGTGCTCACACTATCCTGGCTTGAGGGGTGAAATCTAAAATGTGGCGTGTGTGTGTTCTGTATGCTGATGCAGTTTGGCATGACTGAGGATGAAGAGCTAATGGCTTGAGGGGTGGAATCTAAAATGTTGAGTGCGTGTGTGTTCCGTATGCTGATGCAGTATGGCATGACTGAGAATGAAGAACTAATGGCTTGATGGGTGGAATCTAAAATGTTGCGTGTGTGTGTGTGTGTTCTGTATGGTGATGCAGTTTGGCATGACCGAGGATGAAGAACTAATGCTGGCCTTGCAAATGTCTATGGAGAATCAGAGTGGCGGCGGTGGTGAAGGTAAGGTTGCCATCTCGGTTTTCGAACGCTGATAGTGAACCAAAGCGTCACTGGGTCCTACTTTTCGTCTTAGTGCATTGCTGTACTTTCTGCACATGATCCGTGTCCAATGCAACCATGTACATTCAGTGCGTACTGTGAATTAGAGTGCTTGGTACTCAGTCACTGATGATGCGGGGAATGTGCGTACGCGTCACACTCCGTCTCCCAGTTCAGCTGCTTCCCGCTGCAGCTCTGTCTATGCTTTGGGTTGGCAGCAAAACTTGGGGAGTTCAGTTATTGACTGTATGTGTGAACAGATGTTGTTCGGTCACGGAATCTGGACTCCAAAGAAGACTGTATTTATTTCTGTTCTTCGTAACTGAACGAAAATCTCTAGACTAGTAGTATGCACACATCATCGTGCCTTGGCACGGACATACCAACTCTGCTATTGTCCTCTCTCCAGGACCAAAAAACTCTGCTTTCCAAAGAGACAAAAAAACTCTCTCCTCTCCAAAGTGAAACTGGTACTATAACACAAGCACAGCTGATAAAGCGAACAGACCTACAGCCAATCAGCAAACCAGTTCCGTCATATGATCCGGCAGGTATTGCATGCCATGCATGTACTAGATTAATGCTACGGTACAGACAATCGCATGTCTAGACAGGTCCTAACAGTGTCTAGTCAGTACTAGCATCATGCTCACATGTGCCGGGTCAGCACACAATACATCGACCTTGCAAACGGTAACCTACGGGATCTACTGGAACATATATGTTTTACTTCTAATGTTGTGCCTTGGTGATATTCCTGATGGCCATCATTTTTACTTGCTGTTCCATGTATGATTCTAGGTACAACAGGCACAACTTCGACCTCAGAGTCTGCTGATGCAGCCTGGGCACGGGAACTACTCGTTGAAGAAGCCGTAAGTTTGTTACAGTGGGTTAAAAAAAATTGGCTGTGTGCGCCATTCCCACGTATGTACTGACTCCCTCCATGGCTGAGGTGTCAGCCGTGACACGGTTGGGACCGTTCTTGAGTGTTCCAGGGATGTCTGCTGAGTAGCTTACTCCCCTAAGCTCAAGCAAGTCACAATTTTGCACATGTGGTTTTAACCACCCGGTAGGAGACTTCCATTATACGCATCCATTTGCTTTTGGAGAATCCTTTAAATACATACATACACAACAACAACAACAACAACAACAAAAACATATACTCTTCGCGCATTCTCTGCGCCACAATTATGCCCCACCACATATACTCTCGCTGCATACTGCTAGCAACGTGCAACCTTCGTATAATTTACGTCGCTCTCATACTTGGCACTTGCCACCTCCGAGGACTGATCGCTGTCTCCATTCTCCCCTATACAAGGCCCTTTATTACTTTAATTGCTTGCCCACCAAGCTTCGCGAAATCCCTTCTCGTACGAGGTGAATTGCTATTTCTGGACATTGTACATTTCTGGACATTTCGAGTAAAATATTTTTTCGTCGCGTGTAGAGTCAAGTCAGTCAGGTCGATGAAGTTTTTTCTTGTTGTAGTTGACAGCTGGGCTGTTGTAGTTTCTCCTCGTGTCGGTGCCTTGTTGATAGCCTTTTCTTGGGAGGCATTTCAACGAGTTTTGTGGTACTATGTCGCATGAGAATTTTGAATTTTGAGTAAAATAAGAAGTAATGGACGAATCATTGGCTTCCCCATGTGCACTCCACCTCAGACGCTGTATAGTCTTGGACCTGTTGGCTGGAAGTGTGAAGAGGCCAACTGCAGTCCACCAATAGAAAAAATAACAAAAATGGTGCAGTATAGGATGCCTATTGACGCTATTTTACTTTCATGTCCAGAATTCCATACACTGAAATTTAGGCCAAAAATTGGCCTGTCGAAAACATCCTGCTATTAAGTCTCTGGGATCACAGCATGAGCAATTGTCACATATTTGGAAAGATGAAGGATTACGCCATACAATAGATACAAAAAGATATGAAAAATGTAAAACACACAGCCAGTGGGCCTCTGTTTTATTTTCATGTCCAGAAATTGCTATTCACCTCGTACTCTCTTCAAATCCCAGATACCCCTGCTGTTGCACAACTCTGTATGCTCGTGTAGTGACCACCCCTGCCCGTACACTTAAGTAGTCATTAACCCCTAGGCTCTGCCCACCCAATTCTTCCTCACTCTTTCTCCTTTCTTACACTATTATCTCTTATTGGCCACTGGCTATCGTGAGAATAAAGATTTGAAACAACAACCTCCAGTTGTGAGACAATAGCAATTATCAGAGAAATTCAATAGCTGCAGACCATTCAGAGAAATATTATTCCTTTTGATTCTTCTCACTCTCCATATTGCAGGTAGCAATGGCTGATGGTGATGAGCCAATGGATGATGATGATGCCGACATTGCAGAGGCCCTCAATGACCCCGACGTGCTCCGCTCCGTCCTCAGCAGTCTTCCCGGCGTCGACATGGAGAGCGACACTGTTCAACAAGTGCTGTCCGAGACTGCTGCACAGCGCGAGGCAAGCAAGAAGGATGGCGAGGAGGATGACGACAGCGACGACGACTTGTAGAGTTGAGCTTGAAACGTTTGGTGTGCTGCAATGTGGACCGAATGACGGTAGGGAATGCAGTGCTGTTTACCCTGTTCTGTTGTACTATAGACAACTATTTCCTGGCGGAGTTTCTTTTTCTTATCAATAAATCATTAGCTTGTTGTTGCTACCACTGTGCTATTGTGTTGTTTTGATGTCCCTGCTGCTGTATCTATTTTTGCTTGATGGTAGTGTGTTGTCCATAGATCAGTGTGTTCTTAGTACCAGGATTATGTGTTCTGTCCGTGTGTTCATCTTGTACATGTATTCTATTTTTACATGCCCTGCGCTGTTTTTCATCCCGTGATCATCCGCCATACAGATCTCACTGCCACGATTATCATTATTCATGTACCCTGTGTTTGTGTTTTGCTCTTCTTTCTTTTTTTAAAGTTTGCATGCAGTATGTATGCATCGAATCTATCAGCAATTGCTCTGGCATCATCTCCATTCACTATTATTTTTTGCTTCAAGTCAACCCGACCGACAGGGTACGGGGCAAGTGACAAGTGTTTGTTGGCTGTACGTGCGACTAACCTTCCGCTCTCTCGTTGCGTGTCACACCGCACATGCTTGTTGACTATGGTCTTCATAGCTCACTTCCTCAAAATCTGACACTAAGCACAAGTTACTTGTGCTTACATTGTAGTGTCAGGTCTCGTTCTTCAGAAGTATGTATTAGTGTGCTTGCGTCAATTGTTATGTAACGTATTAAAGTTGCATACTGGTATGTGGCTGTCTTCCAGTTGGGCTCAACAGCTGTTGTTTACATTCTCTGCTATCATTTTCCTGAAAAGGTGAATATGGCACCATAAACGTTTCAGACTAGACCATCGCAGACGCAGATGAAACCAAGAGTGCATGTATGTACTTTTGATGATACTTGTTGTGGCGGTGAGGCCAGTGCTTATGTCCGTACATTGGCTTGTACGGAAAATTTCCGTCCGCCTGTAATGCGATTTACCTCTGGCCCAGGTTTGCATGACGAAAATCTCACTGCTATTGAGCACAGTATTGACAGGAGTACATAAGTAACATAACCTCCTGGCCTGGGGCCGGTTCATGGGTAAGGGTACGGGCAGGGAGTCGTAAAGTACCATAATTATATTATGGGGGGGGGGGCTGCTTGGCTCGAAATTGTCAACAGCTGCGTTGACCTTCGTTGACCTTATGCAATGAGTGATTATGCGAACTGTCATTATTAGGCCTAGTCATTATTATGGGTATTTGACGACTCCCGGGATCCCTGGTACCGGGTTATGATCGGGGAGTAGTACAATACCGTATACGGTATAGTACTACTCCCTGGTTATGATTGTGGTGAAAAATCTGTGCATTGAAAGCAGGGAGTAGTGTATTTTACATGCAAACGTCAGCAGTGCATGCCAGAGAGGCAGTCGTAGCCTACGTAGGCTAGGTGCTAGGTGGTGCATGCAGTGTCGTATGCATGCATGCGCACGTGCATATCGCGATATCGGGACAGTAAGATTCTGTGGAGGGAAAGTCCCGAAATGTTTTTTGTTTCGAATCTCATCGTGGTTTTAGCCGTTCAATGATCTCAAGTGTTTGAAATGAACACTGGCTGAAGGCAGAAGTCGAGTCACAGAGTTATCTTGCCCCTTGGAAAGGAAACGCTGAGCCGGTGTGTCGAGCGGATACGACGGAATGCAGACAACCCCGCCATTTTGCACTTGAATGCAGCCAGATAGATCGGATCATCTTCACTACCACAGTTATAAATGCAGCCTGAGCCCGACTGAGAGACAACTGCGGCATGGATGATGATCAGCTTCGTGAGGCGCTGAAACAGCTCGGCTTCGATGCCCCGATAACGGACCAAACACGGGCGGTATTGCTTCGGAAAGTCCAATCTGGATCCGGTGCTGGGTCGAAAAACAAGAAGCGCGGCTCGGCTGCGCCTGTAGCAGGGCGATCGAACTCATTTGCGGATGCAGCCTCGACCCATCCAAAAGCTGCAACGAGTTCTGGGCGATACCAGGAACGACCGCCATCTCGAGAGCCTGGGAATGGAGGAGGAGAGGAGCGACTCGTTACGCCAGAAGCGAAGGTGATACCCGAATCGCGCCGGCAGATGCATCATGTAAACGGTAGCATCCGCAACCCCAGCTCTGGAGTAGAATACGCACATGCATCAGCCGCTAGTGCTGATGAAGACACAAGCAGCTGCAGAGATGTGGCCAGCATGCAGGCAGCGTTGAGCCAATGCCAGCACCGCTGTCGCATCGCGGAGGAGCAGCTTGAACGGGCGCAGAGGGAGGCAGCTGAACAGGACAAGCAGAATGTACTCACCGGCGAGCACATCCGCGTGCTGCGGGAGAACATGCGGCGGTTCGTAAACCGGCCGTCGCTCGTTTCAGACACATGCTTCCTGGCCGGCTATGGTATACGGGTGCTGGCGAACCGAGCTGTGTGCGCTATGCGCTGCGAGGCCATGATGTCTGTTTTATGGCGACAAGACATGCTCTCACTTCAGGTAGTGTCTGTCAATAACACGCCGATGACGACTGTGGACGTCTGTCTGGATCACTCAGTGCGTGCTGTGAAGGAGCTCATTGCATCACGCGTCCAAGTGGCTGTTGGGCAGCAGCGCCTGGTCTACGAGAGGAATGAGCTGGATGACGCGTGTGTGCTGTCCGAGTATGGTATTCAAACGTCATGCTGCATCCATCTGGTGGTGGGACGTCCATCCTCTACCCAGGAAGATGCTGAGGATGATCCTGCCAATCACGTACCGTATGAATGCCCACTGGTGTGTGTAGTGGACATGGTCGACATCGCAGCCAGTTCCCTGGAAGCATTTGTGACGTATCTGTATAGCGCTCACGTCGACGTATCCACGGATAACGTGTGCGGTCTGTTCGTACTGTCACGACGTTTCGAGGCATCCCTTCTGCGCAAGGAGTGCGTAGAGTTCATTCATCAGCGCATGGACTTGGACAACGTCTGGGCGGTGCTGAAGATGGCGCACGGCCAGCGCAGTGAAGAGCTGCTGCTGCTTTGTCTCAGCTACGTTGCTAAAAACGGAGGCTTGCAACAACTGCAGGAGCATGTGCCCGATCTGAACGCTGAACTCCTCAAGTTTTGGTCACTTCGCCAGCCGGAGTAATGGCAGCGGAAAAAATTAAGAACTCTGGCTTCCTCAGAGAACGACACCTACATGTAGTTCTCATGAAAGACGAGCTCTATTGTTGTACATTTGTATTATTCATGATACTAGAACGCTCACATGACAGGACTGCTGCAATCTAACACTGCTGGTATGGTGTGAGGACAAGCAAACAGGGCGGTATATGCAATACTACACGTACTAGTAATAGCATGGAGACATGTGCAAGCGGTAGCATTAGCTTTTTTGGCCGACCCTTTGATGCGCTGGATGGTGAACTATTACTTGACTCTTCATTGAACCGTTGATAGCAAGTGCATTGTTGCGGCATTTATTACACTGTAAGCATGCACGCCAATCTACAATGTACTGTAAGTACATTTATTACACTGTAAGCATGCACGCCAATCTACAATGTACTGTAAGTACATACTACTTTTCAGAGTTATCTTTCCAAGATGCTGACGTCTCTTTTTTCTCCCTTGCTGGGCAATATATGAAGCAAGCATAAACGCATTATTTTCTATAGAATCAGGAATTATAGGTGGATTCCATTGCAACTTTGTGCTGGTTCATCAATACTTCAACTTCTGGAAATGTGAAAGGGAAGCCTAGACATTGTCAGCCATTAGCCATTAGGCCACACGTTTTTATTTCTATGTTTCTCGTCACCCGCGCGCATACGATTCAGGAGTCTGGAAGAAAAAAAGAAAAAAAACTGTGCTGCACTGACTGTGCATGTGGGGACCAGCACACTCATGCACATGTACGTAATGTGGCCTGGCCTGCGCAACACATGATGCAAGGACGGCATTTTTGTGCGCAATCTAGCTGCACATGCACAGATTGTGACAGAAGCTCCTACCACATACTAGTTGCTAACTATGGATGCTATTTTGCATGGTGTATTGGTGGATTTTAGTGTGAACAAAGGTCTAATATTTTTTATTTTTCGGTCATTTTTTATTTTTTTTCCACCTCTCGCATACGTTTTTAGATTTTCAGGTGACGAGAAACATAGAAATAAAAACGTGTGGCCTTACAGAAGTCTAGCTCATTCCCTGCTCACTCCACCACACCACTAAAATGATGTCGATGAACGATGAAGAACAATGCTGCTCAGTGAGATCTGAGCATGCGAGTCGATGTCACGCTGGGTACCAGGGAGTACTAACAAACTTAAAACATGTTTTCGATTCCGGCAGCACACTCACACAAGGCGAGGACGCACAGTGCCCCTGACTACAACCTTAACCCGGATGCTGTCGAAATCGAAAACATGTTTAACTATCGAGCAAGGCTTATAATAACAAACTTTAGTACTCCCTGCTGGGTAATGTGCAGCCCTGTAGACCTGAGAACACTGGACTGTGCACTAGTGGAAGGCGTTAGCTTGACTCACGCGATCGGATTTCATTGAGCAGCACTGTCTGTATATCCCCTCGAGCGTGCACCTCTGCATGGTTGTATTTCGTGGAAACTTACATCACATAGTTGAGTTTGTGATTGAAATACCGGTATTGTACTACTCCCTGATGAAAAGTACTTCCAGTAGGTAGATCTACAGACCAAGTGGTGTGAGCTATCACCAGGGCATTGGGGCAATCATTGCTGAATGAATCGGCACTTCCACAACTTCCTTCCATTCTCATTGCAAGCAGATCGAGAGTTCCAAGAAACAAGTGCTGGACACTGACGAAACTGCTCAGCACAGTAAAGCGAATCTCGGTCATGAAGCGATGGGAGAGATTCTCAAAGGAATGAGGAAGCAACGTCAACATGCGAGTGAGCCACAAGGATAGACTGAATCAAGTCCATCTGAGCTTCCACATACACCCGCTGCCTGGCCAGAGCACTGCGTGGAGTCAACACACGGACTTACATTAATCTTATCATTCAGCGTTCATACGTCAGAGGATGTACTTCAACTATATACACAAAATGAAAATCAATGACAACAAACACAACGGCGATAAAAAAATATGTTTCATGAAGCAAGCAGACTTTCATTTTTTGTATGGCGGAGTCAGTGTTAGCAAACAGTTTGAATGGACGAACAAAAGTGTAGAATAGCATGCCAGAAGACAGCATACTTGCCAAAGAATCCTATGGACACACGGTCAGGGAGATGGTGGTGGAAACAGCACTGAGGCAAGACAGGACAATAGCAGAGTATGTACAGCAGGAGCAGCAGCACCATTCTATGATGCGTTGTTGATTCTCTCCAGAGCCTCCAGCATCACAATGCTGTTCCCTCTGACCACCTACACAAAGGAAAAAAACCAACAGACAGTTAATGCCATGCCCAACATAAACCAGGGAAAAGGTTTATTGAGAACGGTACTTGCCACAAGTAGCTAGGGAAAGCCCACACAGGCACACACACACACACACACACACACCATTGGACGCCCATCGCCGGAGGCGATGATAGCAATGCTACAGCAGAAGCCATAGCAACTTGTGCTGGGATTGCGCCACTCAACAGCTTGCAAGGCTGAAGAATTGGCTGCCACTATTCAGCCTGGTCTACACCACACAGCTATGAAGTGGCTTTTTCTGGCCAGTGAATCCCTACTTTTTGGTCACACACACACACACACACACACACACACACACACACACACACACACACACACACACACACACACACACACACACACACACACACACACACACACACACACACACACACATCAGACCTCAGACATGCCCATCGCGGAAGCGATGATAGCGAACAGCTATGTTAGACATAGCAACTTGTGCTGGGATTACACCATTCAACAGCTTGCAAGGCTGATGAATTGACCGCCACTATTTTTAGCCTGGTATCCACCACACAGCTGTTTGAAGTGACTTTTTCTGGCCAGTGAATCCCTATTTTTCATTTTTTTCACACACACACACACACACACACACACAAGTGCTGCTCCTTTTAAGCTTGTGCATCCCGTGGATAACGAGTGCCTCATAGGTAAGCAGGCTCCCAGTTACAACCAGGAACTAACATCAACACCAACACCAGTATCCTATCAAGTCAATGCTTTCGGGGCACGTGGGGAAAGGCCATGTGCAGCGAATCTATATCCTGGCCAGTCATTTCATCAGGGCACTATGTCATCAAAGCCACAATAGTGCATACCTTGCTCAGGAGAGGTGCTAGGGAAAAGGCTGTGTTATACTTTACTCTCTCTACAAGTATGGATGATGGGTGAGAGGCCGGCTAAAACCCACTCTCCTCCCACTGGCCGGTGCTCCCACTGTGCCTTAAAACAAAGGTATGGACAGCCTCCTACCATAGGCATGTGATTGCTCCTTTGTCAAATCAAGTCTAAACCTAGATCTGTAAGAGCAGTTGGGCAGTGGATGCAAACAGACTGGTTCCCTACAATACTGGTTGCATGATACAGCAAAGCGCATTTTAGAAGGATAATTTTTGGCTCACCCCCCCCCCGCCCATGTCCCAAGTGCGAGTGCTGGGACACATTGCATTTCAGAAACTCAACAGTAAGAGTAGCTGGCAAAGAACAAACCAGGTCGTCGTGGCATACTGCAGGTACTTCTACAAGTCAAACTCACCACCATTCCGATGCTGTGGCGCTCCTTCGGTGAGACTTCATCAAATGCGTCATCGATTACGAGATTCATGAAGGGGTCAAACCCGCGGAGTACACCAGACACGGCTCTCTGGCCATTCAGTCGCACTGGCATAGAGAACAACAAAGTGGAAGGAAGTATATATCAGGATAAGGATGTCTTTACAATACAGTCAGCTCGCCCCGACTTTGGTGCTGGGCAAGTGCATTGGCTGAAGAGCAAGGACCAGGATGTGTGCATGTCCCACCACACTTTCTCTAATATGCCATCATCCTGCACATACATTAACATGTGCTTATATGTATACTCGGGATTCGGCGTATGCAGTGCGACGTGTTATTGACAGGCGGTATGCACATGTGGTGTGACGTGCGATAAGCAGTACACCTACTGCCGGGTTATACCGTGTAGCACGTGTACCGTGTAGTGTGTGTGTGCAGACGTGCTCCGTTTGCACAAGAAAGCAAGGCCCAAGTCCAGAGAGGCCGTTGCTAATGTGTAGCGTGTACTTTGCATTGTAGACGAGTTGCGGAAGAGAACGGGTGATGGTCTCCACTTCCAAACCTGCTGGCAGAGCAGGCATGTTCCCATTAGTTTTACTCTCTGCCAGCATGGGAAAGCAGAGACAGAGCTACACAAATACGTCCACACTAAGGGCTGTGGAGAGGCTGCTTGAAAAAAAACATTGCAACAGAACTAGTGCCAGTGCAAAATAATTCACCATCTCGTGTTCCAAAGTTATCACGTTCTTCCCATTATTATTTTTCTTAGCGTTCTATTGTTTTGTTTTTTGTTTTTTTCGATTGTCGTCTTGGTGCACCTGCTCTTACTCATAATTCCCACATAAGAGATCTTGAATGACGCACACGTGTGGCCGAGGTTGGGACTGTGTTGACACAGGTAGATTTTCGCCTTTGCTTGGTCACAGCTCGAGCAATAGAAGTACTAAGCAGCTACAGCTAAGGTCTGTGTTGGACATGCGGCGCTCCATGCCACCTCTGGTTGCCCAGGTACCCAGTGACCAGAGGTAGATAGAGGAGAGCGGTGATGGGCATCGCTGGAAGGTGCGGTGTGTACTAGATTCCTCCTCAGTAGCATGTATGTAATGAACATCTTTGAGTCTACAGAAACAAAACAATTCGGTACCCTAAACTAAAGATTTAACCTAAGTGCTACTCAATGAAATCCAGTCGCGTCACTCAAGTACGCGCCGGGCGTTGCGCAGCCCTTGTCCTGCAAAAGCTGGGCTGCGAATCGGTGCAAGGCGCAAACTTGAGTGACGCGACTGGATTTCATTGAGCAGGACTGTACGTTATTACCCAAATACTTAATCTTCAGTAGATTCTTTACCGAAGTATATAATTATGGTATAATCAAGTTGTCACAAATCTAATGGTTCTCCTCAGCAAAAAAAAGGCCTGATGCCTAAAGAGATTCGCGTAACAGCATACAGGTGCCATACACTTACATGAGATGCGCTTGTCCATGTACCTGAATACAACAATAAATAAGTAACAGAAACCCATCAAATCTCATCATTCTGGCATTTAGTTTGTACGCTATTTAGAGTGCATGGATATAGATATTATGTAAGAACAAATCTGATCCCACAAGGTCTTACTTTTTTAGCTCCGGGGGATGGGCCTTTCCACTCATCTTGATTAGGCTTCTCTTCTCCAAATGAAATTCAAAAACAATCAGGAATATTCACAAGAAAGTTTGCAACGAAAGCAGACAAACATCAAAGCAAAAAAATCTCGAACGATCGATCGTCGCCACGGCGATTTTGTGAAATCGTGCCCAGACCCGGTCCGATCCGGCGGTCCCGCGGAGTCCTAGCTGCGCACGGTAGGCCGGCGCGGGTTATTACGTACGTAGCGAGCTCATCGCTTCGGCGCGCGCCGCCTGCATGTCAACCCAATCCAAAAAAAACATGTGACATAACTGTACAGCTAGCCACGTGCCACGTGCTCCGCATGTCGGGATCCGGGCCTGGACTCGACTCGGGACTCGGCCGGGTGCATTCATACGTCGTTCAAAATGCCAATGGCTTTTCCTCTCAAAAATAGAATCAATACAATGTAGTGTCATTCCGGTGGTACTGCACTGCACTGGGACAAAGACTTCAAGTAAACAACACAAAGCTAGCCGTAGTGAACGTGTTGTGAAAATGCTCGCGCGAGGCCTCTCATCTTTGGAAATGCTCTGACCCACTCCTATCGAGGCTGTCCGGAATTCCTTCGTACAATTCTTAGTTGATGGCTTTGAGACAGTCATTGTACTCAAATAATTGTTGATATCACGTAAGACAGCTCTACAGCTGGCAAAGCATTTGTATAATCGGAACAACTACACCTCAAGTACCATAGGTACTGCGCTGGTCATTGACTCGACAGGCGTGGCGTGCATACCACCATCACCTCATCTTCTCATAGCTTTCGTCCCATCATCATGTGAGTAGAGAGCAGTCTCTTGTGTATTCTCCACCATCTTACAGAAGCCTACATGAAATCCCCAGTTCATAATAATTTGTGTGTTCAAGTTTAAATTAATGCAACGTTCAGTGTAGACTGTGTAGGTTACACAAGAATACTTTAAAGAAAGTAATTCAAATACATACTCACCAAAGGCGGGGGGGGGGGGGGGGGGGGGGGGGGTAAGCTGCACTTCTGTGCTGTGTTTTACGTATCGTATTTGCTGGAGTATAACATGCACGTGAATATAACACGCACCCCCTTTTTCGGCAAACGTTATTGTGTGTGGCAGTTCAAGGTATATCCGGAGTATAATGCGCAGCCCATATTTGAGAGCATTATTGTATCATACAGACAGTACTGTAGTGCGACCACCGACCATTGTCAGACTTTGGGTGCGTTTGGTTGGTATGATCTAGAACAGGATCGAACAGCTGGTGCACATGGAGCAGCCTCATGCCAACCAAATGGTACTCCAGAAACAGAGCACATTTTTGTGAAAAATATGCCAAACTTGGTGCATTCTTCAATATATGTGTATGGGCACCATGGTCACTGTGTACGGTACGACGAGTCCAACCCAAAAGCGTATGCACGTGATCATTTGGGACCAAAATCGATGTTCCCGCCAGGTTTCACTGTGAAAAAGTGAAACTGCTCGGTCTGCTCCGGCCTCGAGGCCGGAGCAAGCAGAACATGTTCTGGCCGACCCAGAACAGGTGCAGTCCCAACCAAACGCGCTGTTCTGGTGAATCCTGTTCTAGGTCGTACCAACCAAACGCGCCCCAAATCATATGGTTGATGTGTGCATTTGTATAATGCACGTGCTACCGATGGTGTCTCATACCCATCATGCATTAGGCCATCATTTTTTATAGCTATGTTTCGCGTCGTCCGCACGCATACGTTTTGATTTTTTTCGGAAAAAAATAAAAAATCGAACATGCACAGTAAGTGTACGATCGTGCGAGTCATCAGTGTGGACATGTACGACAGGTTGCATACGGCGAAGCTGGGATTCAGAAATGGCCTCTAGGCCAGCATTGGTAAATCGTTCGTTCGGCATCTGGGAGGAATATTCTATGAGCTTACACCAGACCGCATTGATCGCCTAAGCTGAGAGGATGCGTCGTTCCGGAGCTCTTTGCACCGCTGCTGAAGTCTGAGTACAATATTCCAGCGAAGCATAGGCACCAACGGTTGCCTCCTCTGTCCAAAGTGAATATTTACTCATGCTGATAACCCAGATGCTGTGTTTCGGTGTACGATTTTTCTTTCGAATGTACATCATGCACGAGCTATTGTGCTATGTACAGTGCATACACCTATGATGAGCCTTTTTTATTATTTTGCAACTTTTTATTTTTTCCACCTCTCGCATGTGATTTTGGAAGTCGAACTGACGCGAAACATAGATATAAAAAATGATGGCCTTAGCAGTGTAACCAGCAGTGGAGACTAGTAACACACACGCATGGAATGCGCCCGGCCAGCGGTGGCAAACGTTGCAACAGCTTGATGCATTGCACTACTTCTCGAAGTACTTGCAATTTCGTATTCGGAGCATAGTGCGCACCAGGGAGTCGTACCCGCTTGGGTACGCCTCCCTGGTACCCATTTGGGTACGACTCTCTGGTGCACACCTGCGATTTGGGGTCTGAAAATATAACACACAACAAATAATAGTACATTTTAAAAAAAGTTCGCACTATACTCCGGCAAATACGGTAGTTTAGAGAAAACTTTTGGCTTTACAATGAGGCAATAGTGTGACTTCTCTGGAGATTTTGACAGCACTTCAGTATACAGTATGAAATCAAAAGATGCCTGTATTTGCTGCCTGTACCGTAACATCCCGCCAGAGCGCCCCCACCTCCTCGACGCTTCGTTGGGGAGGGGCGGATGGGCGAGTCCTACTTGCCGCATTCAGCACTACATGGAAAAGTACTCACCCTACGAAAACTGTTGGTGCATCTCGTACACCGACCAAAGGTCAAGAGCCAGGAGTCGTACAGACCCGACAAAACTCAGGGTTTGTGCGATCCTTGGTCAAGCGGGTGGGCACTGTTGCGTACATTTCCAACGGGGTCAAGCACACGTCTGCAGTACAGTACGGTAGCACAGCGTCATACGTGGTTACAATCAATCACTTCCCTGACAAGAAGTCAGGGAGGGGCGGATGGGAGAGACGGGGCGCTCTGGCGGGATTTTACGGTAATTCCCATGCCCAAATGTCAACATTAAATTCTATTCACTGGTTTGAGGGAAAGACACAAATGGGAAAAGTCTGAAGAAAAAAATTGCTGTCACCACCAGGATTCGAACCAGGCTTTTAGCGATAGCCGAAAACAATTTATACAGATCTATGGTGGACATGCACTGTGTGTGTATTCTTGTATGGGCTTGTCTTGTCGCATCCAGTGCATGTCATAACACTGTCTCCTTGTGTGTGTGTGTGTGTGTGTGTGTGTGTGTGTGTGTGTGTGTGTGTGTGTGTGTATGTGTGTGTGTGTGTGTGTGTGTGTGTGTGTGTGTGTGTGTGTGTGTGTGTGTGTGTGTGTGTATGTTGGTGTGTGTGTGTTTGCATATGTGCATGCGTATGTATGCACATGCGTACATGATAAGATGGAGATGTCGTACATGGGCCTTCGTGATAATGGCAGCTCTGCAAGTGAGTTGTCAGAGGTGGAAAGAAACGCAGAAGTAAAAGAAGAACAGACGTCTTTCAGGTAAGTAGTCTTTATGACTGTTTATATCTTTATGACTGTTTATATCTTTATGACTGTTTATATGACTGAGGTTGTAGCTATAGTGCGTTTCGAAAGTATAGACCTCTGGTTTCAAGTACTACAAGGAAACGTTAGGCCAGCATCTATACAATATAGTTCTATAGTCTATAGTCTATAGTCTATAGTCTATAGTCCTTGTTGTTCTGTTCTATAGCTCTATATCACATACAATATGTGATCACTTCGTGTATAAAATTTCCGAAACTGGGCATTTATCCAATCACTTAGAAATCTATATACGAGAATAATTTGGGGAACTGCCGGAACAATATCCCGAAGAAAGTTCTCGAAAGCTGAAACCAAAATTTGATCTATTTGTGAAACGTCTAGAGGTCAGTGCTTTTGATATGCACTGCAAGTAGATTGCTAATGATGACACGGTTATTCTTATTTTTCAGCAATCTGGCTGCATTCTTATAGCACGGTTTTAGAAACAATTCGTACTAGATCATGTGCGTCCCGAATTCTGCCGGAAAACCAACACTGCCGTTAACTTTAGGCTGTGGCGTTCCTAGAATATCAGGCTGAACGTTCTTGGGCTCCGTGTTCTTCGGCGCACGGCTCTACTACATGTAGCGGTTCATGACTTTTAAACCGTCTATGTTGTTGTCCCACAGCGATGATGGACAGCCGGAGGAAACACCGTACACACGCTATTTGGTGTTGGCGGCGTGCACCGCATCCCTGGGCGGCATTCTTTTCGGTTATGATCTAGGTGAGCGCGGGCTTGTAGCTGAACCATGCTGAGTGTCACTGTGCTGGTGCGATTTGCATGTACCTCCTTGCACTGCTCAGCTCATGTGTGTGGGTGTGTGGGTGTGTGTGTGGGTGTGTGGGTGTGTGTGTGGGTGTGTGGTTGTGGGTGTGTGTGTGTGTGTGTGGGTGTGTGTGGGTGTGTGTGGGTGTGTGGGTGTGTGTGTGTGGGTGTGCTACGGTGCTGCTCAATGAAATTCGATCGAGCTTGCGCCCTGGACCATTTCAAAATCATCCCAGTGTTCACAGGTCTAGCGCTGCATAGCGCCCAGCGGGGGTGGCATGCCTTGGTATTTTTAATCAATTTCTTTATGATATTGCTTGGGATGTGTACTTGTTCTTGTAGTACTGCATGCACTGGGCATTGATTAATTTGATTTGAAGTCAGAATACACGAGCTAATGTCCACTTTTCCTTTTGCCTTGCCATCAGGTGTGATCGCGTCAGCGCTTATTCAATTACGCTGCGAGTTCATGCTGACTGACCTAGCGAAGGAGTGGGTGGTCACGTCGATGCTGGTCGGTGCGCTGGTCGCATCGCTCACTGGCGGTAAGCGTTTGTACATAGCTTTGTGTAGTCCAGTAGATGAATTAACGGATGGGCTCAGCTGAGAGACGGGCTGTGGGAGTGTGTGTGTGTGGGGGGGGGGGATGAGTAGGCTAGTTTCGATGGCTATAAAATGCATTTGAGCATTTAAGAATTGCAATAAACAGAACCAGCTGAAGCGACATTTTTCAAGGTTTTATTGAGATGCCACGAACAAATTCTAGAGAAAGTGGTGATGGACAAAGAAATAAACCGCTACATTTAAGCAGGTTGTATTTGATATTAATGTGCAGGGAATGTTCCTACCTGTAGTTGCGGTAGCCTGTACCTCACTATAAGCCGTTGTGGCCGGCTGCTCTGCTCTCGGTCTAATTCCACTCTCTTTCTCTCTTCTCTTCTCCTTTTGCTATAGGTTTCCTGATTGATGCGTGCGGTCGACGTAGAGTAATCCTGGTCAATTCACTTATATTCATTTGCGGGGCTGGTGTGGCGGCGGCTGCACCGTCACTAGCCGTTCTTGTGAGTGCTGCGTGTTGGGCTTGTACTATTGCTTGCCCATGCTGCTTCTACTTCAAGTACTCGTGCTCTTCATATGGGCATGGCTGACATCCTGTAGTGTACGTGTGTACATGTGGTTGTGTTGACCTCTGGTCAGGGGAGGGCAATCCTGCTCTGCCTCTGGTCCGGGGAGGGCGATACTCCTCTGGTCCGGGGAGGGTAATCCTGCTCTGCCTCTGGTCCGGGGAGGACAATCCTGCTCTGCCTCTGGTCCGGGGGAGGGCAATCCTGCTCTGCTCCGGGGAGGGCAATCCGGCTCTGCCTCTAGTCCGAGGAGGGTAATCCTGCTCTGCCTCTGGTCCATTCATGTCTCTCATGCTGACTTTTCTGCACTCTCTTTGCCCTCTCTCCGGTTCAGATTGTTGGACGTCTGATCCTGGGCTTTGCCATATCTCTGGCTGCTATCAGTGAGACAGTGTACATAGCAGAGATTGCTCCTTCCGTAAGCCCACCTTGTATTTTTTGTATTTTATTTTATTATTTTACTTGGGCATTCCCAACAAACTAGGGGTGAAACGATTAGTTCGAATATTCGAATATTCGAGTATTCGTTCGAAAATTTCAAACGAGCGAGTATTCGAAATTTTGCACTCGATTGTTGTTGTTTTTTTTTGTTTTTTTTTAGTATTGGCATTCTATTTTTCAAAAACTTTTGTTGTACCGCTCGTCCACTGGTATACATGTGTAATGCATGCCTTTGAGTCAGTATTTTATGACTTGGACGATGCAATCACCATGGCAAGTAACGTCAGTTAACGTTCTGAGATATGAAAGTACTGATGAAAATCGTTACTTTACACTCTGTACAAGACGTTGGCGACTTTTGTTTTATGTTCACAGATAATTTCTTCCCGAATTTGTGGAGAACTCACAAATCTAGCCCTTTTGAATTTTGATAAAATACTCGAAATAATCAGATACTCGATCGAATATTATGAACGAGTGATCGATTGGTCAAAATAGATACTCGTTTCACCCCTACAACAAACCCTAAGGTCTTCTTACAGGGTGCCCAACCTGTGTCTCACTGTGTGCATGTGTGACGTTACGTAGGAGTTCGACATTAGCATGTCACCTGTTCATGGCGGTTCACTGTGTGGCTCCATTCTGTGGAGTTGAGTAGTTTTTGGGAAGAAGTGCAGTGACACTCTATGAAATTCGAGCAAGCGAGTCAATGCCTCGCCGGGCACTGTGCAGCCCTAGACCTGCGGGCACTGGGATGTGAATAGGGCAGGGCGCAAAGTGGATTCACATGATCGGATTTCATTGAGCAGCGCTGTGTTTACAACAATCATGTAGTGGCTGACATGGCACCCTCTATAAGCCCTGCCGATATTGTCCTGTGCAGCAGAGCAGTGCATTGGCTTACATTGCCGTCCTTCGTACGTTTTCTTGAGGCCAGACTTAGTGAGCGCAGGGCTGTCCATGTATGATGTGTCTTATGTCTGTACTGTGTATAGCCCGCATTCAGAATGTGCTTCTCACCTTGAATACATAGCACTGGACACGCAAAAGGCACAATGAGGTTTTTAGGGTTTGTCCCAACTCCGAGTTTCTTGCTCAAGGCAATCATCAAGCTACTTCCTGGGCTAGACATGTCTGTGTGTGTCTCATCTGCTGTGTGCTATGCAGGACAAGCGTGGTCGCCTAGTCACGTTGAATGAGATGGGAATAGTGCTGGGCTTCTTGCTTGCCTACGGCATTGGCTATGCATTCGTAAATGTCAAGAATGGCTGGTTAGTACTAGTAGGCAAGGAGGAGAGCTATATGAGTTTGAGAAAGTGTTGTTGTGTCTTCTGTCCTTGTTGATCTGAAGTAAGTTTATAGTACATGTACCTGTGTGTGTGTGGGGGGGGGGGGGGGGGTGTGGGTGTGCGTGCGTGCGTGCGTGCGTGTGTGTCATCCATACTCAACGTATCTACTATTATCGCCAAAAACATCCGACCAATGCTGCACATGATAGTCGACAACTACCATGTGCAGCATTGGTCGGATTTTTTTGGTGCCGATAGTACTTCATTTTTGAAAGCGGGCTTGCAGTGGAGTGTTGAGTCTCATCCCAGTTTGTGTCTTTGTTGAAATTTTTCGCCAACAGGCGCTTCATGTTTGCCATCTCAGCTCTGCCGGCAGTGCTGCAAGGCCTTGGTCGCCTGGTGTTGCCCGCAAGTCCTAGGTACTTGATTATCAACGGTCAAGAAGATGAGGTAAAGCAGACACTGAGATGTGGTATTGGAAATGTTTGTACTTCGTAGCTTGTGTGGCCTTTGAAGTGAGGGTGTATGTCCTCATCGTCACCTTAATCTTTGTTTTTTTTTACTGTGGTGCTGTAGAGTTCTAACCGGTGTTTGTTAACTGAAGCTTTCCATTCACTCTCGTTTTTTCCTTGTTTGCATGAACGCATTTTCATTCTGCTGCTACCGTCTCTTTCTCACTCTCTCTCTCTCTCTCTCTCTCACTCTCTCTCTTTCTCTCTCTCTCTCTCTCTCTCTCTCTCTCTCTCTCTCTCTCTCTCTCTCTCTCTCTCTCTCTCTCTCTCTCTCTCTCTCTCTACCTATCAATCCCTCTATCTTCTTGCTGCATACAGGCACGGAAATGCCTCCGTCAGCTCAGAGGCATAGACAACGTTGAGCCTGAGATTGCATACATAGTGCGCTCAATAGCCGATGAGCAGGTGGGTTACGGTCTTAAACTATTCACGGCACCAGTACTGGTACTGATATATGTGCTCTTAGGCAACATCATCTGCTAGCCAACTTATGGATCTGGCACGGACTTCGACACTTAGTTTCTGATTCACTCATATTATTTATTATGTATAGCATGCTGTGATGCTGTTCTTATGTACTCTAAACGTGTGTGCCATGCTAATTCCTTTAAGAGTCCTTGCAGCCAGCATTAATTGCAAGTGATATCATTGTGTCTCCGGCAGTTTTGGTCTGCATCCACATGATTGTTTGGCTTGTGCGAAGGCCGCGGGTCGTGACTGGACTGTCTTGCTTTTGTTATTTTGTTGTTTTTTGTGCGCCTGTCAGATTGTTCGACTGCGTGATCTGCTGACCTGTGCCGGCTCGGCTGGCAGGCGGCTTCTTATCGGTGGCGGCCTGGTGTTTCTCCAGCAGGTATGCCGTATGGTGATGCATCTGTGCCTTGATCCATAGAGGGTGGTGGCGTTAAAACTCGGCCATTTTTATGGTGATTGCAGCTGGACTAGAGCGTACATTTTGGGCATGCTATTTGAGGCTCGGAAATCCTGAGTGGTAACTGTATTCTAGATGTGAACTGTGAAGTTTGAAATGCACCTTAATTAATTAAATGGTCTGGATTTGGGTCGGGAAGAAGGGGTATGCGTTATACAGTATTTTGGCTGTTGTATTCTAGTTGTATTTGCCTTGTGTCATTCCTTGCTTGCTATCAATGGGATATTTCTTACTCCAGTTTGCTTAGTAGTACACAGGCGCGTGCACCGGTGCCCTTCAATGGGGGGGGGGGGGGGGGGGATCCGGGGGACATCCCCCGGGAAAATTTTCAAAAAATGAAGCAAAATCCTGCATTTTAAGCGAAAGGGGGGGGGGGGTTCCGGGCACCCAGAAACCCATACGGGGCACGCGCCTGGTACATGTATAATACTGATCAACCGTTGGTGATAAGGCGACGAGCTTTCCCAGTGACACCACTGTGCCATGCATGCTGTGCTAAATCATGCGTAAACCAACCACTTTGCCTTTCGGTGTGGAAGACAGTCCAGTAGGCACTTTGTGGTTATATTGTACAGGGATGAATTTGCTGTTATTTTTTTGCATAGCAGTTTTTGCTATACAAAATCTCAATTGCGTAGCAAACTTTGATTTTTGATTAGCACAAAAAAGATGTTTGTGTACATGTCCCGCTAGCTTCCACCCCAAGTGTGGTTAGTAACTTGCATCACACATGTGCACGCAGATTGAGAATAGTAATGTACCACCTACACGGCATTATATGCATGTTGCTTGACGGCACAATACAGGCATGGATAGCCTGTATGTATCGCAGTTTTCTGCTAGTCACGGTGATTTTTGAGTAGCAGTAGATCGATTTTGCATAGCAAACTGCGATGCGATACCGGATAAATTCATCCCTGTTGTACTCAGTCTGCACTATGCAGACAGACTCGGATGGAGAGCCAATGATTAATTTATGGTAAAGAATAGGACCAAGGAACTACAAGTTACGCTATAATGTCCACTAACACCACCAGTAACTTGACAATCAGCTCATGCGATAACATTGCACAAAAACTGACCGACTACTAGTATGCAGACAGCTAACTATTTTGTGTTAGACTGCGTGTACTCAGTCTCTACAGAACACTGTAACCCGCCCTCTGAGGTTGTTTTCATTGTTCTGTTGCTTTCCTTGCTGTTGGGTCTCTTTCAACCTGCTGTAGATGACGGGCCAGCCGACCATTCTCTATTACGCCCCGCTGATCTTTCAAGCCCTGGGCTTCACATCGCACGGCCAAGCAACACTCGCTTCCGTTATTCTTGGTGGTGTCAAGGTAAGCTTGATGAGAGATGTTGACTGGGTGGAGGGGCATGGCATTATAGGCTATTCATACTACGTTACAATACGCGTCACGTTTTGGAATACGACGTACTGGCAGACGTCGTTTTCATGCAGGTGCATTCACACAGGCCAGCACACGCTGCTCGTACAGCTGTGTGTACAGCTTCTTTTGGACATAAACTGCTGGGAACGACAGAACGAAACTCGGTACAGGGGTCTGGATACGTCGTCTACGTTTTCGTATCAGGGGTACGATTTTCCCGCCACGTTCCATGTTGTTATGGCTATCCGGACGAAAACGTCACGTACGCCACGTTCCGGGCGTAGTGTGAATGGCCCATTAGATGCGATGCTTGCGACAGGGTATGCTGCCCGAGTATTTCCTTCTCTGGGATCTATTGTGAAGTATGTTGTGAACTTCTGAAGCAAAGAAGTTAGGGTTCTCCAACATAGACTCAGTGCTCTACATGCCAGTATTGAGTGCTGAGTAGTAGTGAACACATTGCAATGTAGGGCATATAGGGTATGTAGCACTGCTGCATGGTGGGTGCACGCCGGCATTGCAGTCAGCCACACCAGCAGATACGGCAGAAGATGCGACAACGTCCTTCATACCCTCACATCGCAGCCGTGCCAGACGACTTGATCTGCTTGATCTAGCCTCGTATACTTTCATTGGATGCCTGCACACACCATCCTCCACGACTGTACTTGTGCAATGTCTGACACAGCAAAACATCTCACCAATGCTCTGCAGGATTGTCCACTGTACGCAATGCTAGCTGTGTCAGTGTGTGTTGTCTCATCCATCAGACTGTGTTCTCTTCTGTTCCGGTTGCTTCCATCTCCAGTTCATCGTTGCTGGCATTGCACTGCGACTCCTGGACACCGTTGGTAAGCATTTGAAATTTTGAATTCTGCGTGCACTTCATTTTATAATGGTGTGGGTATTCGAGACATAACTACATGTTGCAGAAGAAGGATCCACTGGCAGGATTCAAACCCGGTACCCCTGTCTTACCGAGGCAGTGCCCTATCGATTAGGCTACCAGGGATCTCACAGGTTCACGGACACGCACTGGAGATCTTCCGTCGCCAGGCTGGACGATCCTGTGCTATGGCCAACCAGTGTTGTTGAGGGATGTCCGCGGAATGCAGGTCATCAACAATCACATCCCGCCACCGCTTCTTCGGTCCATGGCGTGGTCGAGTCGGCAGCAACTCTCCGAAGGGAACTTGCTGAGACATCCGCTCCGGGCTCATACGTGCAACGTGCCCAAACCAGCGCAGACGGTGCTCACGAAGCAGCACGTTGATGTCGGCTGGCAGCCTCGCTCTGCGGGCAAGCTCGCTGCTAGTGAGGTGGTCCAATCGCTGAGTGGATCTGGACACGCCCAGTATAGCCCGGATCTAGGACCGGTGGAAGCGAGGGGAGCGACTTGGTGTACAACTCTGCATCGTCGGCGAACTGCAATTCCGTTAGGCAGGCTGGGCTGAGTCGGGACTTGGCTGTTCTGTCACCCACCAACTTGCGGCCGACACGATACCGGATGTCAACGCCAGGAACTGAGGATGCTGTCCGCCACGTTGCAACTACTGCAGAGAAGTACAGGTTAAACAGCGTAGGCGCGAGTGTGCAGCCCTGCCGGAGTCCATTGCAGACGCTGAAAGACTCAGTCTGTGTGCCCGGTAGCCGAATACAAGCGGTCATGCCATCGCGCAGGGACTGAATAAGCCCAAGCAAAGTTGGTGGTACCCCGGGCTTGCCAAGCACAGCCCACAAAGCTGCGCAAGGAATGGAATCGTAGGCTTTTGCGTAAATCCACAAAGAGAGAGCGTAGAGCTCGGTATCATGCTCCACAGCCTTCTCCAAGAGCTGGCGGGTAGCAAAGATCATATGGCAGCAGCCCCTGCCTTTCCGGAAACCACACTGTGAGTCAGGGAGTATGTCCTCTGCCACCTTCTGGAGTCTGTTCTGTACGACACGTGCAAATATCTTGCCAACGACATCCAGAAGACGTATGCCCCGCCAGTTGTCGCACGACTGCAAGTCTCCTTTCTTCGGGATGGGCACGATCTCAGCATTCCTCCAATCCGCAACGACAGACCCAGTTGTCGACACAACCACGATCAGGTTATGAATGCTCTCACGGAGTTCAGCTCCACCAGAGATAATCAATTCGGGAACAATGCCAGATTCCCCAGCCGCCGTCCGAACATGAAGTCTCCGGATTGCCGCCTGGACCTCCTCAAAAGTAGGCACCTCATCAAGCTCCGGTCGCATGTCGAGTTCCGGGAAGCTAGTCAACACATTGGCATCATAAGTGCTCTGGATGTTTAGAAGACGATCAAAATGCTGGTACCAACGTGCTGCCGAGTCTGCGGGGTTAGTTGTAAGATTACCCTGCTCGTCCCGGACAGCAGATGTTGTGACTGGCTGACGGCCCCTGTGCACACCACAGAGCTGATCTATGCTTCGCCACCGAATGGAGCCGTCACGCTGGGCCCGTACTGCCTTGTCCGTCATAGCAGAGATCCAATCTTCCTTTGCATGTTGTACCGCCTTGGCCACAACACGCTGCGCTGAGCGCAAAGTGCGACGGTTTGCGGGAGTATCCTGTGCAAGCAATTGATTATGCGCTTTCTGTTTGGATTCGATGAGGGGCTCCAACACAGCCTTCTTAGACAAACACCAAGTGCGCTGGTGTTGCCGCCCATGGCTCAGGACATCGGAAGCAACGGTGTTGATGTCAGTCCGCAGCGATGACCATTTCTGTTCAGGTGTAGCATTGGCGTCTTGGGGGATCCGGCACGCATCGTCCATTTGCTGCTGAAAAGAACTCACACACGCACATACGCACATGCGGCCCCTTCTTGCTACATGGGTCCCCTCCCTAATAGGCTGGTGCTCCCAGCAGGGCTGGTAGCATTGTCGAATGGAAAGCATGGAAATTTCGGCACTTAAATCAGTACACTTTCCTGCTTTACCCCAATACACACTGGCACTGGACATATACGGTAAAATCTGTAACTAAAGACTAGCGCCAGGCACGGACGGTCTCACATTCGCAGTGCTGCCAAACCGTCCGATTTTTCGGACAGTGTCCGATTTTTGAAGGCTCTTCCGAAAACCGGTCCGAAAAGGGAAACGTCCGAAAAGCAGCCAAAATGTCGGAGATCATTACTTCCCTATGCAGAACTTTCACTTTTCAGCGCAACTGAAGGCACAAATCACTGTATATTTGCTTCTAAAAAGACTAGCGCTTGGCTGTAGAAGTGCAAAGTAACATGCCTGGATCAGGCTGGATGGCATGTACGCTGACAGTCTGTACAGAGTCAGTGTGCGATCACACTCATCATTACAAAATTCATGACAACTCCGGGGTTACCATGCCAACGAAGCGAATTTTCATGGTGTTTTAGGCGATATTTTGAATTCTCTGTAAACAATTTGCCGAGGAGAAAAATTCGCACCATGTGGCCAGCCTTGGCGGTGAAGGGTGTCCGATTTTGGGCGAAAATTATTTGGCAGCACTGCATTCATTATGGTTGTGCGGTGCAAACCTCTAACAGTAACAGTTGAGCCATGATCAGCAAAAACAGACCTATAGTATAGGTCAAATTTTTCAAAATGGTTTTTTTCCAGCAAAAAAACATTTTTTTAAATTTGACCTATATTATGTCTGTTTTTGCTGATCATGGCTCAGTTACTGTTACTAAGGACCACCTGCCTGCCACTTAAGACCGCTTTTTCTGGCCCCATGGGGTGGTCGTTAGTTACAGGTTTTACTGTATGTGCCTACGTCACCGTACTGAGTGATAATGACAGTGTGTTTATGATTGGCTACTCTTACATACAGTACTGGAACACATATTGTGCCTGGGTGGGCGTGTATGTGTCAGGTGTGGTGTGGTGTGGTGAGCCTGTAAGTGGGATCATTTCGAACTCCACCCAGAGTCTTGAGGGGGTGCCGGCCATTGGGTGGCTCATTAGCCAGTCGAGTCATCTTTCCAAGAGCGCTTTGAATCTTTCGCCCCTCTCCTGTGAAGACCCACATGGCCAGTTCTTGGCAATGAGCAAGTACTGTGTGTGTGTGTGTGTGCACATGTGTGCACATGTGTGTGTGTGTGTCTGTCTGTGTATATGTGTGTACATGTATATATAAAAAATTCTTCAGACTTTTCCCGTTTGCGTCTTTCCCTCAAACCAGTGAATATAGTAAATGTTGTGTGTGAGTATAATTGTGTGTGTGCGCACGCATGTGTGGACGTGTGTGTTAACAGGTCGTCGCCGTTTGCTGCTGATTGGTGTGATGATCATGACCGTTGCCATGGTACTCATGAGCACCGTCATCACATCCGATCTCACGCCCCACCCGCAGGAGCCATGCCCGTCCGGCAACTCCAGCTCTTTGCCCACCGTCGGCCCCACCGCCAACACTCTCATGACGGTCAGCACCATGGCCATCAACACTACCGTGGCTCCGTCTGTCTCTGCCGGTCGCAAGTGGTTTTCTCTACTCGGCTTAGTAGGGTACATCAGTGGGTATCAACTCAGTTTCGGTCCCTGTAAGTATGCTGGAGGCTGGATGGCTCATTCCTTGCCCTGTATTTTCTTACAAAACATTCTGTACAGCACTGGATGCAAGCATTCGGCATATGAACACCCTGCCTCATCGTGTCTGATCCTTCTTAACCATAATTACTACACACAGTGATGGTCGCTACTGGCAGTTTGGTGTGCTGTACTGTTACATTGCTTGCTCTCTCTCTCTCTCTCTCTCTCTCTCTCTCTCTCTCTCTCTCTCTCTCTCTCTCTCTCTCTCTCTCTCTCTCTCTCTCTCTCTCTCTCTCTCTCTCTCTCTCGCTCTCTCTCTCTCTCTCTCTCTCTCTCTCTCTCCCTCTCCCTCTCCCTCTCACTCACTCCTCACTCACTCACTCGTACATATACTCTTTCACACATACTGTCTTTTTTTGCGTGCGATGTGTCTATATTGCAGGCACATGGGTTGTTCTAACAGAAATCTATCCTAGTCAGTTACGGGGCCGTGCAGTAGCACTAGCGACATCACTCAATTGGGCCACCAACATACTCATCTCGGCAGTTTTCCTAGACCTAAAGTGTAAGTCTGTCATTCGGCATGTGTGAGTAGGGCATGCATGCATGGACGTTGACAGTGCTTTCTCCCGGCAACAACTTAGAGACATCTTTCTCAATTGTTTGCTTTTGTTTTCTTGTGTTTGTTTGTGTTCAACTTGTAGTTATACTGGGTGTTACCGGCTTGTTCACTATTTACGCCGCTGTGTGCGCCACTGCCGTCATCTTTGTCTTCCTCGTCATTCCGGAAACGAAGAACCGCACGCTAGAAGAGATCTCGCAGGCGCTGTCTGCAGGGGAGTAAGTACATGTGCACGTACAGCGTTCTTTCAACAGTGTGCGGGTTCTGTCTCCGTTTGGTTCGAGCCCTGAGTTCGCTTTTTGTTTTCGCCAGAACGACTCACCTGATGCGTGCACGTGTCAGTGCTTGTCTTGGTGTTGGTACTTTACAGTGTACGTACGTACAGCACCGTGTGTGTGTGTGCTGGTCGGATTTGCCGGCAACGTTTCTAACACACTGTGTGCATACGAGGAGTGGATCTTGTGTGTGGGAATAGCTTTACAGTGCTGGCCTGTCAGTACTCTCAGTGAGCGCTCTGACCTGCCCTCAAGGATTATCCTGTAACACATCACTGTATACGTAGTATCTGGTGATGGTGGCGTTCAAAAGAAAATGACCAGATGAGACGTAGCCGTGACTATCGTGTTGCTTTTACGGTTGTGCACGTCTCCTTTCTCTGTGCACAGGTTCAAGAACCCGGCACAGCGGTGTCGCAGCCTATGGTACAGCTGCACTGCTCCTTGCCACCGTCGCAACCGCCGGCGCTCCTTTTCAAGTCTGCAGAATGAGATTGGCCCATCTTGAACACAGCCAGCACGGCAAGCACAGGCTAGACTAGCGTGTACAGGTGTGCTCATGTGTCTGATTGCAACTGGTCTTCTTCTTTTTTTTAACCATACGTGCAAACGGGGAAGTCCCTTGACTAGAGTTTTTACAGTTTTATTTATTGTATTAAAATTTTTAGGCATAGCCGATTGCTTGATTTTTTAATACAGTCGAGTGTCTAGCAACTTTCTACCTGCTCCTTGTGACGGCACCGCAGCCACACCGGGCGCAAGGGGGGGGGGGGGTCTCTCAAGGCCAGCAAATGGCCGCAGTATCTCATCGTGAACATTTCTGTCATTGGGCCCTTCCTTCCTTTCGTTGTTTGCCAATGCTCCAGAGGTAAATGGATGCCTATCTAGGGTCTTGTAGCATCAAAGTAATAAGAGAGGAAATAGAGAAGACGCAGAAAGCGCGTCCAGTAGTGAGCGGGTGTAGACAAATGGAGCACAATCAGCGTGTGAAACTCGGTATTCCAAAACCATAGCAACGGTGGTCATGCTCATTATGTTTCCCAACCAGCTACTTGAGCACTGCTGTGGGGCTGTAAGGCATGTGTCTGTAACGGTCCTAATTCCTTTAGACTATCTGAAATGAATATGGGTGTGTCACCCGAGAACGGGACTCCCGCTTGATTTTTTGAAAATAGTCCAGCCCAAGCGCAACACTGCGCTGTGCTGCTAAAGTACAGTGCTGGCCAAAGAAATCCAACACCTCATGAATACAGTAGCGCTGCGGTAGAGTGCACAGACCAGTGCGTGTAGTGCTAGGGCTGCGTAGCGTCCGGCATTCATGAGCTTGGATTTCTTTGGCCAGCATTTTATTCATGAGCTTGGATTTCTTTGGCCAGCATTGTACATGTACAGAAGAGTACTGTTGATCCCCCTCTCTAATTTCTGCCGCCTGTTGAATTTCTACTTGTTGAACAACTAAGCGTGTACATCAACTACGGTGTTGAATGACACATGCCCTGCTGTATAATGCGTGCCCGCACACGTGTGCCTGTGGATGAAAATGTGCGCAATCCAGAACAGCAAGCTTTATCTTCCATGTAGTGGTTGTACATTACTAGGGCACTTGGAAGCCTTGATCTAATCCCGCCGCCTGCTGAAACGCTGGCTGGGAAGCGACACAGTGTGGGCGTGTGTGTGTGTGTGAGGGTGTAGAGGGGGGAGGGGGAGGGTCAACGGTATTTTACGGTGCAGGCAACACACAGCAAGATGTCGAGTACTACAAAAAGTAGCAGTACCAGTGCCAGTGGTAGCACTAAATCTGCACATGTACAGTACGCCAGCAGTCCAGCAGTCCATGCTGTGTGCGGCACACAGTCGCATCCTAAACCCTGCTCATTGGCCGACGTCATGGCGATGACTGTACTCATACTGCAACACACACACAAGTCTTTTAAATATGCATTTCACGCTATCACGAATATGTGCAGTAAACCTAGGCAGCTTGTTTTATCAGTGTAGTTAGGTTTTCTTTTAATTTTTAATTTTTATTATTACTAATTTGAAAGTAGGACGGAGGCAGAAAATATTACAAAAGATGTAGTCTTTTAGCTTATTTCCATCATTCCCTGTAGTATTTTGACAAGAAGGGAACGAAAACGTTCAATACTTTGACACATGTCCTAATTGGCTGGTGGTGACTCTTGCGTAGATGCATGCGTAGATAATACATTTTTTATTATTACTGTGGTATTATTTTTTTTATGCTGCTGCCTTATGACACACATGACGCCCCTACGACCATAATGGTTATGGATTATACCAAGAGTACATAACCCCCATGTACTCTTGTTTATACTAACATACAGTAAACCTGAGTGTGCCAGGTGGCCCTGCACTCAGCGGAATCCCGTATTCACCGGACACAATTTCATGCACCAAAGTGCTGTGGATCAAACGTGCATTTCTGGATCAGGCGGAATCCCCGACATATCGGAACAGATTCCGCTGCATCAAAGGTGTCTGGTTAGGGCAGGTTTTACTGTAATAACTCTTGTCTATACTTTACACAAAACTGACAAAACCTTCATGCAACAGTTGCACATGTGTGGAGTTTTGCGATTTATAAATGAAAAGAAATGAGCATGTGTCCTATTCTCAGCAAGGCGTTTTCAATGGCTTGTTCTTCAGCTGCTACTTATACTAGTACTGGTCTGGTTCCGAAGAACTGTGTGTGTGTGTGGGGGGGGGGGGGGGGGGGGGCAGCTTCAGTTCTTTTAGAATTTCATGTACTATGTCTATGATCTACGCACAGTTGAGTCCCCATGTATACATTGGTATGCTATGCTTGATGAAATTCTAGCCTGTTCATTCGTTCTTCGGCACTCTGTTCTTTGGTACCCAACAATACTGAATAATAATACTCAGTCACATGATCGTACTCCCCCAATCCCCCTCCATGCAGCAGTCATGCTCGTATATGTATGTGCACAGATAAGAAACTACTCTTTAGGAAACATCATGTTTCTCGTTTGTTCAAGTCTTGCAGTTATTTGTGGGTTTGTTTTAGGAATGTTATATTGCAATGCATGTGTACATCATGGTGGGTCTAACAGTTACCTCACTTGTCACACAAGTACACTCATACTCGAGTCAATGAAATTAATCGGAAAGAGTTGGCGCCCGGCCGTGTTGTTGCGTGACTCGTACAAGCTCTATACACGCACTACTGTATTATGAAGAGTGCATGTTGTGCTCTTGACAGCAGGGAGTATAGAAGTTGATGCTTTATGCTAGGCTAATGTTCATGTGACCAAACACACCCCGTACTCAGCAGGCACTGGTCTGGATGACAGCATCCATCCACGACACGCACTCATGCACACACACACGCACACGCACACACACACACAGGCCTTTCGATAGAGTACGGCATGATTTGCATTCCTAAAACGAGTGCATGAATTTCTCCACGCCAAGAGTATGCTAGAATTTAATAATTGAAAATACTTTCTATCTGCAGATCCTTGCCAGTGGGCTACTGAGCAAAACAATTGAAAGAACAAAGAGCAAGGCAGTGACAATGTATGACACCTAGTGCCTGCGGTAACAACTTACACCTACAATCCTATTCGCCTACAAGGAGAGAGCAAGCATAAAATGGGCTAATCAGCTCAAATAGTGTGTACATAATTTTGTGGACAAAGTGTGCCTGCTACAGTACAAGGATGTAGGCTACAGCTCTACACGGAACTTGCACGGAAAGCAGTTTGGTACGAGAGCCTAGAAACGCGAGCATTCTTTGGAAAGCTACGGCAGGGATAAAAAAAAGAATAATAAATGAATATTTTCACCATAGAGTGATACAGCAGACAGCTGTGTGTACAGGTGCATAGGTAGTAGCTGTTATGTATGGCACGTGATGCACTCTTCTTAGAAAAAATTTAAAAAAGGGGGATGGCTAGGCTTGCCTGCTGCTGCCCTGATGTCTGAGGGTGGCTAGGCTTGCCCCTTGCTGCTCTGATGTGTCAAATCACTGCGCCTTCAGATCAGCATACATGGCCTGGATTTCGGTGGCAAACCTGGTGCGAAGCTGAGGACGCTTCATCTTCATGGTTGGCGTCAGCAAGTTGTCCTCCACGGTGAACGGCTCGGGGTGCAGATGCAGCGCTTTCACCTGCTCGAAGCCCTTCAGCCCCTTTTCTTTTCCCAGCGCATGGATCTCCTTCATGATGTCCTGCTTGAACTGCTCGTTCTTACAGACGGCCTCCATAGCCGTCTCTTCGCTGTGGTCGGTTGCCCAACGTGCAGCAACAGCATCATCAGGAACAATGAAACCCAGCAGGGCAGTCTCGAGGCTGTCGCCGTGCACGAACACCTGGCCAACAAAGCCAACCTGTTGGTAGATCATCTCGATTTTCTCCGGGGCAATGTACTCGCCCTGTGCCAGCTTGAAGATGTTCTTCTTGCGGTCAATGATGCTGAGCGTGCCGTTCGGATTCCAGCGTCCAATATCGCCAGAGTGCAACCAGCCATCTTCATCTATGGCCTCTTTGGTCTTGGCCTCATCATGGAGATAGCCCGAGAAGAGGTTTGGGCCCTGAAAGCACACCTCTCCTTCGTTGTTCTCCGCCAGGTAGTTCATCTCGGGGACGCTGAACAGCTTGACCTTGGAGCAGGCCATCGGGGGACCGACATGTCCCGGCTCGCCGTCACCAACCAGAGAGCAGGTAGCGGCGGCGGTGCATTCGCTCTGACCGTAGCCTTGGAAGACTGGACAGCCGAGGGCGGCGCGCATGAAGCTAAGCACCTCTGCACTGCACGGTGCCGCTCCCGTCACTGCACACTGGACACGCCCGCCAAGCAAGTTACGGAACTTGGCGAACACGATCGAGTCCCACATTGTATCCTGTCGCGTCTCACCACGCTTCAGGTAGGACAACTTAGAGTTGAGACCGGTGTT